GGTGGTGGGTAGTGGGCGGTGCAACACTGCAGCCGCAGCATGAGTTAAAAATGGGCAAAATTAGCATCATTAGAACGAGTGGAACCAGCCTTTTTTGCCTATTTTCTCTGGCGCACCTGAGCCCAAATCAAGACATTATTAGCCCACATTTAGTTCGCGGCAGTACGTACTATGTACTCATCTGCCTCTGTGCGACGTTTTCTGGCCGAGCTAGGCAAATGCTCGAGTACCAACTAAATCCTGGTCGGTCAATGGGCGGCGGTGGAGTTTAGCCCCGTCGGGCTGCTTTACGAGCTTCGACGACAAGAGTCGGCGGCATTCGAGGGGATTTGGAAATCCTGGCAAATTACCGATGGCAGAACAGCGTCTCCGACATGACCAGGACTGGCGGCTTGGTTGAGAGAGGTTACTCCTGGTCTCCATTGCTTGCACATAGGCGGAGCGGGGGGGAGAGTGAAGGAGGGTGGGAGGGTGGTGATAGTCTGGCCTTGTCCACCCCAGACGTGGGAAACTGCGGACCTTCACGACACCCCCTTCCAGGGTGTGCAGCAGGGGGTGTGGCTTGGAGTCCGCCTCTGCAGCCTTGATAGAGATCTCCAGGCAGAGCATGTATGTAGATGCTATTATGTTGTCTGGCATCCACACACACCCTGGTTGTTCAACCAGGTACATTGTTGGCGGCGTAGGGCAGGAAGGCTTTGCTTCTGTCTGGAGATAAATAAACCAGTCTTCCCATCCTCCACCCGCCTCTTTTCCATCTGCACGAACAACCCAGGAAAGGTATCTCATTGCTTACAACTATCTTCTACTTCACGCACTCTGTCAAGCTCTCATTGCTCTAGTGCTTCAAGCCAATTCATCTATACCTTGCTCCCTCTCAGCCTACCTTGACCTCATCTTCTATGCTGGCCACTTACACCACCCGTCAGCAACCAACCTTCACAATGCCCATGTTCACCATGCCTCAGCATTCGGCCCAGGCCACCTTCACAAGGACTTCTCCTCCTGCCCCCAGACAGTACTGTGGTCGCGGAACCAGCAGTGCCTTCAGCAGCTCAGCCAACCCCGATGAGGACTGGACCAAGATCTCCGATCTTGCCGAGCGCAGGAGAATTCAGAACAGGATTGCCCAGCGCAACTATCGTAAGCTCCAGACCCGATTGCCCGTCCTTGATAGTGGCGCAATTCGACTAACACAGGTTGTCCTCGCAGGCAAGAAGCTCAAGCGCCGCCTCGAAGACCTCGAGCGCCGCGCCGGCTCCCCAGACAGCACAGACTCGCAGAAGACCAACTCATCCACACCCGAGACCAAGCGCGCCGCCGTCAGCAAGGCTTCGCTCAAGCAGGAGACCCCTCCTTCCAAGTCAATTCCCCAGATGCAGTTCACTCCTCCCATGGAGAGCAACGACGAGTTCTTCCTCCCTCCCACCTACGACAGCCGCGAGCGATCCCACACTCCTCCCATGTTCCCCTACTCCAACGCCACCTATCCTGCTCCTGACGACATCACTCTCATGGCTCCCTACGGCAGCTCCCAGTCCTACCAGCCCATCGTCACTGGCAGCGAGAGCTACCCCAGCTACATGGCTCCCACCACTACCATGGCCTCTACCATGCCTCCCATGACCCACTTCAGCGATGCTCTCAAGCGCGAGTCCTACTCGAGCGAGAGCGGCATTGCCAGCAGCGGCTACTCTTATCCTACCTACTACTCCGTCGTGGACATGAACAACAACGGATCCTACGCCCAGTCAAACCCTCATGTGAGTAGCATTGCAACAGAAACGCCTTCAAATGCGACTCGATAGACTGACTGGTGTATTCGCCCAGACTCCTCCTTTGACTCACTCCTACGACCACTCAGCTCCCTGCTCTGAGTCTGGGTATGAGTATCCCACCACACCCCTGTCCATGCCTGGATCGCCTGGCCTGGTGCAGCAGATGTAACAAGCACAAAAAAGAAGGAAAACACACACACGAAGAAAGACAACCAAACTCTACTCCACTACCATTGACACCACTCTCATCAACATCATCTTACACGCTCAAGGTCACATGAGCACCACCACCAACACCACGCCACCAAACATCAAAATGGGAGTTTCTCTTCTTCAGCGGGTCGCACAGGAAATTCAGCCGCACCCGCCCTCTTTTTTTCTCTACTGTGTTTTTTTACATTAATGGCTGTGGCTGGGATTACGAACTTATGAAGCATAGCGTTGCGAATATGGGATATTATTTTGACTGGATTGGGACTTTCTTTTCTTTCTTTTTTTTTCTTGATTTATTATATTTATTGTGGCCGGATCGAGCAATCTGCCGGGCAATTGGCGTTCGCGGATGGGAACGGGGGGGCTGGAAGGCATGAGGAACAAACAGGTCATGAGGGCAGTGGCAAGGCGACTGCGCCCACTGCGAAATGAGCATGGATTGGCCTCGGGCCAGAGTAACGCATGGAAACGGACGGGACTCATAGATGGGAATTGGGAAACTTGGTTTACTATTTTTTTTTAACGCTTTTAACTGATTGGATATCCCCCGAAATATTACTATTGTCTAGACCTTATTCAAACCTGACTCTTTTGCACTTTTTTCCTTCTCCCACACCCAACTACGTAGATTTCGTCTCGTGCCGCCTGCCTTGCAACCCATTTGGTGAGCCGATTAAGTGATGATAGGACCAGGCAGATCCTTGCTTGAAATTGGCCGAGACCAGCAGAAGCCGCAGCCCGACTTTTGCGCAGCTTCGGGCACAGGGCAGGGGAGGCGGGGATATGTGGGAACTTTCAGCTCTCGGCACAAGCTCGAATTTCTCATGCCCGCCAGTTTCCAAGGACCAACAGAAACTCACGAATGAACCGTCCGGAGAAGCTGATTGGGCGCCTTTGACGGGGCAGAAGGGTCGCACAAATGCCGTGCAACCCAGGAATGGAAGGGGGTGACCACGTCATTCGACCTACCTCTGCACGCAAAAGTGTAGATTTGGCCATCAGGCAACTATCTGCTTTCTGCAGAGAGCTGCGATGCCCATCTTTCTTGTTTCGGCGCGTGAAGGGGGGCCAGAGGTGGCCGGAGGGGCCAGGCCCGTCGAATGAGAGGCCGTACCGACAGTCCCAGATGATCGGTTTGGTCGGGTTGCGTGTGGCCCGGAAGGTTGCCTTGCTGCAGCTTCTCGGGCGCACCTTATACGAACCAGCTGGAGAAGGCAACCGGGCTTGCATATTGCATTGCAGCTGGTCCGCAGGGCAGGCCATGGTAGGGTAGGTTAGGTTAATGTCGGTGACTGGTCGCAGTGCTACGATGCGGCGGCCGTATTCACAAGCTGGACTCCCCCCTCTCCCTTGCCAATTGCACGTTCGGCCAGCTCAGGCTAAAGGAGAATGGCATGTGCGAGTGCCGCAGTGTGCGCGCGTGCGCGAATGGAGAGATAGGTGGTGGGTTTGCTGGACCCCTACAATCCCGCCTTTCTCGATCCTCCCCCTCCATGAAGTCTCTCCTCCTCGGCCGGTGAGTGGCAGGCCTTCGCACGAGCGAGAGCCTGAGGCGAGCCGTACTTTGTACATGGAACATTGCACATTGCGGAATGGACTGGGCTTGGCTTGATTTGTCTAGTGAGTGCTTGCCCTGTCCTTTCTGGGGTATGTTTCTTCCTTCCTCTCACGCCTCTCTATTCTCCATGTCCTATGACCGAACAATACGGACTTAAGAAGGACATCAGGGATTCAGATCTCCTTGTCTGGAACCCATTGACGTGTTGTTTCTGCTCGGGAGCATCGGGGTCAAGGGGGGAATTGGAGCAGACCCAAGACTGCGCGGCCTGAGGAGCGCCTTGCATGTTGAGCGAGGTGGTGGGCGGAGGGGAATGGCTACCTGAGGTTTTGGCCCCCAAATGGCACCCATGAGGGCCCTACGTATGGGGACATGGGAGCAGGAGATTTGGAGGGTTACGTCGCCAGCCCAGCCGGCGGCCACTTCTGATGTGCAATGGCATGCCGGTACGTGGGCGTATAGATTGGGGTCGCGGCTACATACGACATAAGGCACATCCTATCCTATTACGCCCACCACATGCTATAGAGTCGTCGCAGCAGGGTTCGCGACCCTGGGAGAGGGGTGAAGGAGGGGGTGTGTGGCATCGACTATCCGTCAGTCCCAGTGGAAAGGCTTCGCCTGCGGATGCACGAGCGGGAAAGTGTCTCTGCAGGGTGCTCGGGTTAAGAGTACGTTACGGGAAGGACACGCAGCGAGGCTTCACTTGACTGCCAACGCGAGGGGCTGTTTATCCGCAATTCAATCATGTAGGAGATATGAGTCTTGCTCGCATTGCCTGGGACGGGGCAATGTCCAGCGCAGCGATTGGTCCGCTCGGTTGATTGGGGGAAGGCCCCACCCGCCCCAGTCCACTTTGGGTAGATGCGAGATGCGTCGGAACGAGGGAACGAGGCGCAGATACATATTAGCCCGCCTGGAAATTGGGGATGCTACTTTGAGGAGGGGAGGGGGGTTTGACTGCCGTGTTCTCAGACTATCGTAGCCTGGTGCGAGTTGGAAAGAGAGATTGCAGCTGAGGATCAACACGGCCTTGCTGCCAGGACTCGTATTGCCCAAGGTAGTTGGTTAGTTGGCTCTGAGGATGAACACGGCAACTAATTTGCGAGCCAACTCAACACCCACCTGCCTACATCACGCTACACAAGGTACCTCTAGAGCAGGCTAATGTGAGGGCACCAAGTTAGAGCCAACAGCCAAGGCATGTACCGTGGGCCCAAAAGTCGGACATGCTGCAGGAGGTACCTGAGGTTGCGTCTAGGCATCTACAAGGCACAGACGAGGCGGCCCCCAAATTATGTCATTGCTGCGGCAGGTCTCAGCACTCAATACTCAACTCTCCGACGGCGTTTTGCCCTGACCCCACGCCGGCCTGTCACGTTCCCTCCCTCAACACAGACCATTCCCATACCACACTCCAGCCTTACTCGAGCAGGAAGCCCGCATGTCCAATGGCCGCATCCAACAGCAGCGCCTATCTAGACCTGTTCGGTGGCACCCAGTAAGTGCGCAATCCTCGGCAGATGAAAGGAATACGGGGAGAATCACATGCGGTTTGTGGTCTGTTTTAGGTCCCTGTGCTGAAATTTCACCTTTTTGCTCCAATCTAGCAAGTGGGACGCTTCCGAATGGGTCACCTCTGATGATCGCGTTCGCGGCGGTTCCAGCGTCTCCCGCCTGGCCGTGTCCGACGACGGCCGAGCTGCGACATTCACCGGGCACCTGGACACGTCGACCCTGGGCGGTGCGGGCTTCGCTTCCCAGCGCACCCGGGGTACGCTCCACCAGGACCTCTCGGCGTACGATGGGCTGCTCATCACCGTGACGGGTGGTGACTCAAAGCGCTACGCTGTTACGCTCAAGGATGAGATCCCCGGCCGCCGGGATGATGGCCGCGACCTCAGCGGTGTGAGCTGGGAGGCCGACTTTGCTCTTGGTAGTGGTGGTGAGGGCACCAATGAGGGCTCGCATGCCGATCAACAGACGGAAACGACGACGACAGCGTCTGCGACTGACGGCCAGCAAGTGTATCTGCCATGGGGACAGTTCAAGGCCACCTATAGGGGCAGGCCCAAGCCAGATGCAGAGCCACTGGATCTAACGGATGTCAAACGCTTTGGCATCATGATGCGCAGGTATGCTCCCTTTCCAGATTTCCATCTTGCCCCTCCTCCTTGGTTTTCAAGATGGGCCTGTTAGGATGTTTCAAAGACAAGCCATCGATGCACTCATTATTCCTGGACCGCTTTCTGCGGCATTACACACGCCTCATTGGGTCTCTTTAGTTGGCAATTGCCGATAAGACTCCCGGGTCTATGAGCAGTAGACCTGGTCTCGTACTGCGGGACGATGGTCTGCTCATTTCCGCTTAAGCTGCGTCTCTTGAAACATGGGGTACTAGGCTATCGATCGTATACAGCGATGTTTGATTGGTCAGAGTCCGAGGCTAATCTCTGCATTGGGCGCGCTTATTTAGCTTTTTCGACGAACAGCATGGAGATTTCAGCATAAGCATCTCCTCGATCGCGGCTACCAAGAGCTCCGGGGCCGAACACCTCAACAACAGGAGTGCGTTTGATGAAACTGAGGATGAAGACGACCAGGCAGCGCTTGAGAAGCGCGCACAGGGTACCCTAAACGAGATCAAGACACCCAACCAGGAAGGAGACTCTCCAGGGTCGAAGACGTCGGCGACCTCGCCTCCAGTGGGGTGGAGGCGTGCATTCTGCGGCTTCATCTAAGCCTCCGGCGGCAATATTGGTTCCTTTGTTGATGCCCTTGTGTTTTTACCCTTTACATCAACGACTTGTTGGAATGGGCAAGAAGGCGCGAGGAGGAGCGCTCAATGGGGCATGGATACGGGCAGCTGTCCGGAAGGGAGCTAGCAAGGGACGCGTGGTCCATTTCGAGAAAGATTCCTACGGACGATATCGAAGGGTGCTGCAGAGCCAAGATGTTGGGGACCGGCCCTGGGAAGCCGTTCCCTGCATCCAGGGGCCTTCCATGGCGGGCGCTGGCAATTACAGTGTGCGTTTTATGTACAGGGACCATTGCGGGCTAAGTGTACGATTGGATCCATGGTAGCATCCGACCCCTTCTTGATGGCCTTCCGTCCTAAGAATAAAGGGCCTGCAGGTGGTCTTCAGCCTTGTTTTATTGGGCATGCGTTGTGAGCAATTCATGCATCGCAACGGGACTTGCCGTTGCGCAAAACGGCCGCCTGTGCAGAGGGCTGCAGTAAGTTAAGTGAGAGTAAGTCCAAAGACCCCGCCGCCTGCTCGGTATGTATCGTACAAGCAGGCCGTCACCCTCCCCTCGTGATGTTGAGATTAGCGCAGGCCGTAAAAGAGTTGAGAGTACGAGTACGTCGGTGGTTTGGTAATCTCTCTTCTCTTGGGTGTCGATCCCTCGTGATGCATCATGCAGCCTGCAGGGAGCATCAGGTACCGTGGCGAGCAAGGGCATGGAGCTACAGCAGGTATGTACTTGCTGGAGGCCCCTAAAGCTGTCCACTAACGGCCCTGTAGCCTTTCCCTCTCAGGGCTTCAGGGCTCTACGGAATACCACGGAGTACCGTTGCGCCAGTCCACCGGGCGGAACCCACCAGGCTGCAGCGTGCCAACGCTCGCTGCAATCACCCCTAACCCCAGCCTGAGCTTGTGGCGCGCCCCCTGTCGAACACCCGCACCAAGAGGGCCGGCCCCTAGGGCGACAGGGGGTTCGGACTCGGGAGGTCGGTGGACAGTGGATATGAGTTGCGACCTGGCAAATGCCGTCGCTGCTAAACCAAAGATAAGATGGGTCCGTTTTATTTGAAATTTGGTCCGCGATTGATTGTTGCGAGAGCTGGCGAAATAGGGCTAATTAACAGCCCTGTGTTAATTATGCCACCATAAACTAAACGGGGGGGTTGCGACGGTCGCATTGGAGATGCGTTCGCCCAAAACGGGTGATTTTGGAGAATACCGATGCTACCTTTCCACGCCGAAGTTCCCAAGGGCACATCCATACGCCGGCGAAAAATAGCAACTTCTGTCTCACAGCGGTGCGTCTCTCATTTCGCGCTTTTTCATGGTAAGGCAGCCAATTGGCGGCCGGCGGCTATTATTCTGTGCCTGCTCGATCTCTCGGCCATTGCTGCATCTGGATGGAACGGGACCATGGAAATAGTATACTACGTATGCAAGCCCGCAGCCCGCGACCGAAAGTGGATATTGAGATTTCTTGGGCATGTTCTGTTTGATGCTACCTTGGCCGACGAAAAGCCCGCTACTGCAGAACGAAAGCTTCCCTCGTTCGCTCAGTAGGAAGGGTGACCCCTTCTAGGCGCTGCGTACTAGTGGTTGAGGGTGGGAACAGATGGACAGCAGGACGGGCCTTTCTCATGATTGGGATTTGCGCCTGCTGGCTGGTGGAGGGGAGTACGTATGGAGAGAGGGCCAGGAGGCCTTCTCGCGACTGGAGTACCTCATCGTTGTGCAGAAGGATTCGGCACATGTTGGCAGAATAGGGAAGGGAGTGCGACCTGGGTGGTGATGGGCGTGCGAGACATTCGGTGGGCGTCTTTGCCTTGTGATTTCCTCCCACCCTCTTTTCTTTCAGATGTCTCTCTCTGTCGTTCCGCTCGTTTCCCATCTCCCCTTCCCACCCCCGATAATCTCGATGGGCGGCCGCAGGCTGCAGGTGTGTGTGCCGTTACGTCCTGGATGGAGATCGTCGCGTGGCAGCGACATGAGCGGAAGCGGTTGACCTTCAGGGGCTTTTTCTATTTTGATATTCCAACGTAGCAGCCATCTCTCTCTCCTCGTGCATGTCATGTTCAGTTTCAGTGGGAGAGAACTACCACGGGTCGCAGGTGAAGCGCCGCAGGAAACAAGAATAGAAACGGCGGCTGCATAAGGTACACGCGGTCTCCATGGTTCTTGGTCATCATCTTATTCACCACAACAGCCGACCCCAAGCGCCCCCCGACGCAACTACCGTGACTATTGCCCATGAAGGGGGGAGGGGGGTGGAAGCGGCACAGAGCCTTGTGGAACAACGCAACTGTGTCCTTGGCTGTGCCGCCCGACCTCGAAGCTGCACCTTGGGCGCTGGGCTTATGCAGTTTCTTCTCAGCCCTCACAGCCGCCTGCGGTGCAACTGAACCAGTGGCTTTGCTCTTTCCCTGTGCCGGCGCCATGCAGCCAAAGTGCAGCATCTTCGAGGGCCGATCGATAGGTATTCTGGGCAAAATAGTCCAACTCGGGACCGAGGCGTAGAGCCTCACCGACGGGGCCGACACCCATCTCTCTCTCGAGAGAGGAAAATCAGAGTCTCAACACGCCCCCGACAATCCAAATGTACCTTAGAAAGAGACATTCGTCAAAAGAGAAAAGCGTGGTGCACTGTTCGTCCAGAGTCTGTGCGGAATGCCGGCACTTCAAAGCGGGCTTGGGCAGCCTGCCCTTGCCCATTCGCGATCCCGGTCCTGGTTCTGTTTCGCGACAGGATTTGCGCGGACTTCCGCGCAGCCTTGAACCTGGGAATGAACACTGCGATGCCTGCCTTTCACGTTTCGACCACCCCCCTGTGAACTCGTGGAATACCGCACAGAAGGTGGAAATTAACTCCCATTCAGGGCAAAATACCTCCTGCCTAATCCTGTGCCCCGTTCGTGAATTGTTACCAACCACGTGCCCCATATTGATATCCTTACACTTTTTCCCCCCACGAATCCTAGATTGATGATGTTCCCCCTGCTAGGCACCGTGGCAAGTGTGTGATTTGCGATCCTACGGCATTTGAAAAGTCTTGGCCGCTGTTTTCGGGCAATTCGGACAACTCTATTTGCCGCTGTTGTCCACGTTTTATGCGTTTATGCCGCGGATCCCTTCTTCTCTGACCGACTTGTTTCAACCTCGACTCCGTCCGACGGGATATTCAGTTTCCGCCTTGGGGGTAGGTAAGTGGCAAGGCGGCCCCGGGAATTTGCTTTTGTGGTCGGGAAATTTGGGAGGAATCGGGCAAAGTTGAGAGCAATGTGTCAGAAGTTTCGGGGCCTTCTTCGGTGATTGCCGCTTTCTGATTAAGATGCCTGGCGCAGTAGACAAGCCATGTAGGTCATTTGTAATGCACGTTCTGGCAGATCAGTCGCAGCCTGGTTTGGAAGGAAATGCACACGCCCCCTTATCAGGGCTAGGAGACGGTGCTACGAAGAAGTAAAGAACCTTGGTTGGTTTGTGTTCACCCCAGAGCGCCACGGAGGGAGTCTCCTTGAAACATTGTGGTACCATGGGGGGGGGGATGTTGTCTTGATAGACTCAAGTGTTCGGTCCCGAAGCTGTCTTGCAATGTCTTCCTGACTTCATGCCTATGTGTGGTAATTAATCTATTTAGTGGATCGAAACCATCGGCTTGGGGGCCGTTTTCTGACTGACAGGTGTTGTGGACGAGCGGCTGTCTGCAGTTCTTAGTGTTGAGTAAGCACTCTGATCCAAGTTCCCCCATGATTCATCGTGCAGAGATTGGGGGCGCTCTTGCAGGCCGCATCGTTCAGTCTGTATGCATCGTGGCTCTCATGCAAGTTGGGTTGCAGTTGACAGCTTCCGTATTTAGAAAATGCGTAGTGTCCCCTCGTGCTTGACGCAGGAACATGGGTATCATTGATGTATCCCCATCTTGCGACAGTTGCCTAAGATAGGGGAAAAAGGGGCCAGCAGTTCTGAGGTCTTTATGTCGGAGAGGTTCGGCCTAGTCTTTCGGCGCCGGCCAGACGGTCATTTGGATTATATCCGTGTGATTTAGTATTCTTGGTAGAGGGGAGATGCGATAGTCGTGATGGATGTTGCGATATCAAGCTTGAGCATACGGCACATGGGAGGTCCATATCCTGCCCCTGCCCACCTGGGAACAACGCTGGCTTTATATTTAGATTCATCTTTAACTTGTAAACGAGAACGCAATCGCTTTTCATGATATTTGGAGCAAGTTGAGTGATTATTTTGTGTAGTCGTGTTGGTCCTAGCTCCAGTAGAGTCTGAAGGAGTTGATATTCTCTGCCAAAATCCCCTTTGGTTACCTTACATCTTTGTCCTTTGCGCACCTGCCAACCTCTCAGTCCCATGGCGACTTTAAGAAGGTCTTTTAAAACTAGAATCTGACCCTCGCTAAGAACCCTGGATATTCTCCGCATAGTTTGTCGCGACCCTTGAACAACACTCAGCTAGCCTTGACTCAGCTGACGAGATCAACGTTAACCATCCATGGCACAAGGTAGGGAATTGCTTTTAATTCTCAGAAGAACAGCGGAGAAAGCTGACCAGTTCTAAGGCTCAGGAAATCTACAAAAGGTCGAGACTCTCCAGGCCAGTTGCGTCGAGCCTGGCACGTCGACATCGAAAATGGTCTATGTACCGCCAACCGAGGCACAGTACAATGAGATCCTCGCCAGACTCGACGAAATGACCGCCAGGGTTGAGAAGATAGAAACCCGACTGGAGACTCGAATACAGCAACAAGAGGTTCGAATTCGACGCCTCGAGCGCGGTATACAATGGGCTATTCAACGGATCAAGTGGCTGTCGCAGTCGGTAACGGCGCTGGGGGAAATCGTCAGGACCAACTCCGGCACTCTCTTATCCTTTTTGAATCATTCCAATGACTCGAGGTGACCACCGGATTGGAGTCTGGCCTTTCTCTTTCATCTGTTTTTGAACACGCACTGGCGGATTAGCGACAAGGGGGGGCATCTTTCATGGAAGGGGCGCATTCCGGAGTTTACTTGATTTCTCACTCTACGGCCGATATCAACGAAAGACTATGTTGTTTAGGCGTTTGGGTTCAGCGCAGCGGTTTTGGCGGCTTTTGGAAGATTGATAAGACATGGAATTTGCCAGATGTGAGGTGCTGTCACTGACCTTCTGATCAGGGAAGAATTAATTGTAACGGGCTGCATGATCAATGGACTCATCAATAAACATTCGGATGAAATCTATAACAAGTATGCTTTCCCGAATGCTCCAAACCAAGGCGTGAAATGAACAGATCATGTCGGCTTGTGAAATGCACAAGTTGATCTTGTGAAGAAGTAGGCATTTGGATCAGTAGAGGGGAAAATCATCTAGCTCTGATCTCTTTCTCATTTGATCATAATTTTCATAACTACTCCTGCTCCCCTTGATCAGGCGCAAAAACTGACCGGCTAGCGTTGTCTTTTGCTGTTTTCAAGTACATGTAGTAGCTGTATGATAGCGACATGGCCATTGTCTATAGCAAGTGCCAGAGCTGAACGGCCGTATTTATCCTGTGCTTTAAGATCAGCATTATTATCAAGCAATAGCTCAGCAATATCCAGATAGCCCTTCTCAATAGCAACCATAAGAGGTGAACGACCGTCTTTATCCTTTGATTCAATATTAGCATTATAATCAAGCAATAGCTTAATAATAGCTATACGGCGACCCTTCTCTATAGCAACCATAAGAAGTGAACGGCCATGGTTATCCTTTGATTCAATATCAGCATTATTATCAAGCAACAGCTCAATAATAGGTATGTAGCCCTGCTCTATAGCAACCATAAGAGGTGAATAACCATAGAAATCTTTACTTGCAACATCTGCCTTATTATCAAGCAATAGCTTGATAATAGCCTTATGGCCATTCATTACAGCAAGCGTAAAGGGCAAATAGCCATCTTGATCCCGTGCTTTACTGCTTGCTTTATCATTAAGCAATCGTTTCATAACAGCCCCGTAAGCATAGGTTACGGCAAGGGCAAGAGGAGAACGGCCATCTTGATCTCTTACTTCAATGTCTGCCTTATTATCAAGCAATAGCTTAATGGCAGCCATGTGACCATTCCTTGCAGCAAGGGCAAGAGGTGAACGGTTATCTTGATCCTTTACTTCAATATCTGCTTGATTATCAAGCAATAACTGAATAACGGCCTTGTGGCCGTTCCTTGCAGCAAGGGCAAGAGGCGAACAGCCATTGTTATCTTTGACTTCAATATCTGCCCCGTTATCAAGCAATAACTTAGTCACAGCCGTGTGGCCGTTCATTGCAGCAAGTGCAAGAGGTGAATAGCCATGTTCATCCTTTATTTCAGGGCAAGCACCCTTATCAAGCAGTAGATGCACAACACCCTCGTGTGCCTCTTCAGCGGCGAATACAAGAGGAAGAACTCCTAATTGACCCATGAGTTTCGTATCAGGACTATTTCTAAGTAAGATATTCACAGCAGCTTGATGCTCCTGTTCCATAGAAAATGCCTTAGGTGGTATGACCCTGCCATGGGAGTGCCTCTCGAGTAGCATTTGGATAAAGATTGGATATTTCTCACGGAGAGCGAACAACGGAATCGGGTCAGTATGCCCATTTTGTCGAATTTTTATAAGTGTGTCGAGAAGCTCGGTCAAGCTTCTAGTAGAAAGCATTGAATACACCACACAGAGCGGTGTCAGCCATTCCACATCCCGTTCGCTCACGCTGAACATGTCTGACTGAAGGATGATATCAACCGTCTTTTGGTTATCGGAAATCGCCGCTTGCTGTAAAGCCATCCTCACAGTAGGAGCCATTGAATCCATGTTGAAAGTGGGCTCGTTCAATAATAAATATACCATCGATTCATCGTCCTCAGCGGCTGCTGTGATCAATGGATGGACACTCTCTACATCTTTCATGATTGAAGCATCGAAATCTACACACTCCACGCCCGAAGTAGCGAGTTCTTCATACTCCATGTCTGAAGTAGAGAGATCTTCATAGGATGGGTATGCGCCGCCTTTTTGCGGATGGGGATGAGATAGTGAGGGAGTAACCTTCCCGTCGCCCCATCTTCCGGTGGCAGTCGTGGAAGCGACAAGAGCCTTACTTTGATGTCTTTCTAAGAGCTTTTGCCTCTCATTTATGCTCCTAAGACGTCCGGCTATGCTCAATGTGTTTTCATCATTGTCTCCGAGTAGGCTTTTGGACAAGTCAAGCGCAGAATTGAGAGCCTCCGATGCTGTTGTCAAATCTCCCATCTTATACGATGCTTGCCCTAGGCCTGTCAAATGAAGAAGTGATACACTTCTAGATTTCTGTTCATCACCCATCAAGCAAGGATTGAAGATCTGCATCTCAAGGGCCATTTCGAAATACGCTCGGCCCTTTTCTGGGTCTCCTTCAGAGTTGTAAACCCAAGCAGCATGATGAACAATAGTAGAGTAAAGACATTGCATCAAGCCGTAATCCGGGTTCAATGTGATATCAGGTACGTAGAGCTCTATCAGAGACAGGGTAAATTTGAATGGTGCCAGGTATTTTCGGTCGACAATCGGCCCTTCAAGGAGGATTCTCTTGGGTGTTCCAGCCAAGGGCAACATCTCAAGTGCCTCGCATATCTTTCCCGCCAAGTTATAGGAGACGAACACGATGCAGTCTTGCTTCCAACGAACCATTCCTGTCTCAAGAAGCCATTGGCATATAATTCGATGAAGAAACAAGCTTTTGAGCTGACCATTCTCCTCTTTTATATGGACCAAAGAGAAACTTGCGAGGTGGCGAAGTGCAAGTCGAAGGAACCCATGATCTCGAAGCAAATTGTGCAAGCTCTCCATCTCATCCGACACAAAGCTGTCTCCCTCATCTATAGGCTGGCGAAAAGAGAAGCATTCAATGAGAGATATTGGAACCTGCCAGGACCCAAGAATAGCGATCATTGTAAGCAATGAAATGTATTTGATGTCGGGCCCAAGGGACTTGATCACCATATCAATAACTGTTATGATAACTCGGCTTTTATCGTATGCCCACATATCTGTTTCTGGTCTTATGGACATGAGATTTCTATAATTTGTTTTATAGGAAGTAAGGAATTGAGAAAATGTGAATTCTCCGTTTGATATTAAGCCGCCGGCTTGCTCGAGAGCTAGTGGAATGCCACTTAGCTCCTTTGTAATGGCCTTCGCAGCCATTTTATCTAATAGAAAAATTAGTATCGCCAATTAAGATACCCTGAAATAATGTTGGCTTACCTTCTTCGCTTGAACTGGTTTGTTTGGATGTCGTGTTTAAGAGGGATAGTGAACTCATTGTGTCTAGGCCTTCAACCTCAATGGGCTTCTTAGGCCTAAACCCAGAAAAACTTCGAAATGCTGTACTAGTAACGATGACAGACCCAAAGTTACAACAGGGAATATACTCGGCGAATTGGTGATCCGGTTCATCGAGGCTGTCGAGAACCAAGAGCCATTTCTGATGTCGCGTATGTTGGAGTCTCGATCGTATATGGGAGAGGGTATTAGAACGGTCGTTACTGGGTAGCGGACGATCAACTGGCCACTGGGTTGCAATCATGAAAGAAGCCTCTTCAAGAGACTGAACAGCAGTCTCCTTATTTGATGCATTTATCCATATGATCGCAGTGTAGTCTGTTTTATGTTGTTCGATGTGTTGGAGAACAAGCTGAGTCTTGCCGCAACCGCCAATCCCGTAGAGTAGAGCAGCCTTGCGGCCTGTTTTAGATGGTTCAAGCACATCTCTCACCCGCGCAAGCTCTTCACCTCGGCCGTAAAAATAAGGAGATTTCTCGGGGAGGCCGGAGCAGATTGTGACTTGTAACCTTTGCACCCCTTTCTCAGCGAGTTAGAGTCTATACATTGTGACACATTGGCGTTGATCTAATCACATACTGCTCATTGGTACAAGCAACCTCGCACATTTCTCTATTTCGGTTGAACGTTCCCTGAGATAAGCCTTGGTGACAGCCGAAATATGCTGCAAGGCTTCTTTGTTACTCTCGTCTAGGCCAACTGACTCTAGTCCCCGGTCAACATCGAACCGGTAGTAAAGCTCCTTTGCCCCTGCCTTTGTAAATCTGTTCTATTGTTAGCTTCGTCAACTAGAGCATACCATCCACGTACCTGGTTGCAACCTCTAGGTGTACTTTGTGACAGTCCGTAGCAATTTTCATGCAACTCTTTGCTGCTTCTATTATCTTTGAGGCTCCGGGTACGAAGCTAGACGCCAAGCTTGAATTTCTAAGCTTAATGGTAGGGCGGCCTGTACCAACGCTCACAAAACATGATACCCCATTGACAGCATCCTTCATTGGGGAGATCCATTCCGAAGTCTCCAGTTCTGAGAGCGCAGCACCACTAGGATTATTCTTCCCAAACGCCCCGTCCACATATTCAACGCCGTTTATCATAATCGATGGGAAGAATGTCGTAGCGGCCGACGTGGCTCTACATGCGTCGACGATAAGACAGGCTTCGGTGTTAGCTCGGACCCCATATGTTCGAAACAGATAATCGTTTGTCGTAGTCTTGGAAACGGCGACAACCGCTACCTAATTGTTTCACATAAGCTGCTGCTAGAACATGAATATGGGAACTCTAAACTTACAGGCACGTGGCCAGTGGAGAGGCAATCTTCGTCATACATGAGGCCGTGGCCGGCTTGGGCTCGGATGGCCTCTGAGAGACATTCACCTATATGTTTTGAACCTTTCAGCACTAGGCGAGAACTCTTCAAGAGCGAACTCGACTCGAAAATCTCGGATCCAAGCTTCCTAAAGAGTTCCTCGCACTCGTCCAAGGTTTTCCCAAGCCGTCCGAGCAGCACTGCAACCAGTCCACCGGTGCTCGTTCCACAGATGAAGTCGAAACATTGGTAGGGCTCTGGTGTGTAATCGAGACCGTTATTGATCCGAACTTGGAGCATGATTTCCTTGAGAATGAGGATCTCGGACAGACCGCGTATACCTCCGCCATCGAGGCATAGGACACGAGGCTTGGCCGCTTCTGCCGCCATATTAACACCTAGAGACAGTCCTCCTAGGTCCAGCTCAAAGGAAACTCTGATAGCTGAGCTGCTAATGAAGCAGCACGTTTTGACGTAGGCGTTGAGTGAGAGGGGGTGCTTAGAACGACGGAAGCCTGGCTGTTCTCGGCATACCTGATACGACGTCACTGGTCTTGCTACAGCCAATCGTTTTTTAAATTCACCGCCAACAGAAATGCACTTCTAGAGCTGCGGCCGAAGAAGTGGCCTACATGCTGCATGAGTACGTGTAAGGTGAGCCGCCAATGTAACACACCATTTACAGCTAATTAGGTACTTCTCTTTTCGCAAAAGTAGATTGGCTGGCTGGCTGATTGAATTTGTTTTTCATACTTGATGACCAAAAGCTATCTTGCACTGAATGCCCTTACTAGTAGCTCTCTAGTTTCATCGTTGCAATATTTGAAGAATTTCTGCACCATCTGGGGACGTCTGATATATGGAATGATCGATTCGCCCGTGTGTGGGTGCCGCACGTCGCCATCTAGCCTGCCTGTTTCGAGCAGTATTTTTGTCACCTCCCAATTGCAACTTAAGACGGCGAGTTGTAACGGGGACGCATGCCAAATATCCTTACAGTCAGGTTCGAGATCTTCTCTCGAAAACAACATACGAACAACATCGCAATGGCCCCCATCAACCGCGAGGTGCAGTGGTGTCTTCCCAATGATTTCTCTTGAATTGATGTTCACTTCCCGTCTCGTAAGCAATAGCTGTACAATGTCAATGTGACCCATTTGAGCAGCGTACGACAGTGGTGTTCTTCCCATCGAGTCCGCGAAGTCAGGATTGACATTTCCCAAAGATAATAAGAGGCGCACAACCTCAGTATGACCGCCCTCTGCTGCATGGGAAAGTGGAGAGCGTTCGAGTTCGCCTTTTCGGTTAGGGTTCACCTTCTTCGTTGTCAGCAAGGAAGAGACTATTGCTGCATGCCCGTTGATAGAAGCATAGTGGAGTGGGGTCTCTCTCCATATATCGGTAGATTCAAGATCAAGACCTTTGATTGTCAGCAGTTGCTTCACAATCTGGATATCTCCGCTGATGGCTGCATAAGATAGCGGCGTGCGTCCATCATTGCATCGAGTGTCCGGTCTGGCCTTTCCTGTGGCGAGTAGTTGGCTGACTACGGCCAAGTGTCCATTTTCAACCGCCTTCGATAAGGGGGTTCGTCCTTCTGAGTCTTCCTTGTTTATACCTGCCTCTCCTGTCGCAAGTAAGAGCTCGACCACGTCCTTATGACCATTTCTACACGCATGCCATAATGCAGTCCGCCCATTGATATCTTCATGGTCAATGAGAACACTAGGCTGCTGAAGAAGTAGCTGCAGAATATCCCCACGACCATCTCTAGCCGCAATAGACAGAGGCGTGAGGGACTTAATATTCCGTGATCCACAGTCGGGACCTGCCAGAGCCAAAATGTGTCGAAATAAAGTCATATTGCCTATGCTTACAGCCCAATGGAGCGGCGTGCCAAACCTGCTGTAGCATCCCCGTGAGATGAACTCCCTTTTGAGTTTGATAATTTCCTGGAAGGGAGCTTTTGCTTCCTCATCAAGACATATCTTAACGACACCGATGTTGTCCTCTTCAATCGCAGTAAACACAGGATATGTACTACGATCTGAAGAGAGGCAGAATGCGGAGTGTCCAGAGTCCCATGCCAAAATGAGTTTGGCAAGCTTTGGGCAGCCCAGCCGTGCAAAAATGCTCATGAGGTTTGTGGAAGGGTTCACGCGACGATCTCCTGTCGCTCGAAATAGGTTAAATTGAGCAGCCCAAGATCGGATGTTGAGTTCTCTCAAAAAAGTTGATTGAGGAACCAAGGTTGCGGCATGTTCCGAATGATGAAAAAGGTAATCAGAGGCATATCCGAGAAAGGGGAATCTATCCAAAAACTGTTGACGTAATATTTTCATTTTGGAAGAGGTCGTACATGGCAAATCCTCCGGGATAGATTTGTCATGGGCTAGATATGCGTGACAACATTGCCGTAAACGCTCGTGGCTGTAGATCTCGAAGTTATCGGCCAGGTGAGGCCATAGCGACTGAATCCCATTATCCTTGATCAGAAAGTCTCGGACAGATTCGTGAATAAAATTTACGGTCTGGGTCTTTCGATACGTCGTGACTTCAGCAAGTCCTTTGGATGAACTCAGAACGTAGCGCTTCATGACTTCGGGCGTGATAATCTCGCTGTCCCACTCATCCAAGGCTGTACCAGCCGGGAGAAGACCTGTAGCGAGCGCGAAATAATACTCCGCACATGTTAGAGGTCGCTTCGCGAATGCAACCCATTGGATGCACAGGAGCATGTCCTCCATGTTTTCTCCATCTCTGCAAAGAATGTCCCTGAATAAGTCGCCAAGCTTAGGTGGTAGTTCCTGGAGGCGCCTCTTGACTTGTAACAGCTGGCCGTTACGAAAGACGCCATTGAGGATGTCAACAGCAAGGACTACCCACATGAAGATGCCAGCAGACTTGCGTAGGATCTCTTCATATACCCATGTTGCTAATTTGCTGTTGCCAGCCCGTAGTTTGCCGCGGACGTACTTGGCCAGGTCCTCGCTATGTTCGGTTTGTTCCTCCAGCGTGAACCGGATGCGGTTTTGGATGTCTACATGAGGGTAGGGTCGGCTAGAAAAGCAAATATGCAGTTTCACACTGTTTCGAAATGCATTGCTGCCAAGCTCCTCAAAATATTCAACCATATCACGGATTTCTTCGGCGTCGCATTCATCAAGTGCATCAATAAAGAGAGTCAAGCTCTGCGTATTAAGCGCACCTACAACCTCAGACATAATTTTCTGAAGTGTCTCAACAGTCCACTCAAAGACGCCATTGTACCTGTGAAGCTTTGAGGTGAATTTGTCGAGAACATGCGTAAGATCTGGAAAATGTTGGAATGTCTGGAACAGCAGGGATCGGTACATGCCAATAATTGATTTTTCCAGAACTTCACCTCTAGCATTGAAGAAAAAGGCGACATTTGAACTGCCACCAACATTTCTGGAGGACTCAGTAGCATAATTATATGCATACTTCATCAAGGTTGATTTGCCAGCCCCAGGCTTCCCAATAATCCAAAGAAAACCGTGATGTTGTGGTAGCTGGTTTGAGTCAACCCAGGAATGGTAGTTTGAGTTGTAATGAAACCATAGACAGGTCTTTTCGTACGCAGATTTAATGCCTGTATGTCTTGATTCGATCTGCGGAAAATCCAATGAATTGAGTAGAACATTGCGACATTCGTGTAAAGACATAGACACTGAAGGTTATGTTAGTATGTGTATCGCTTTCCTTTCTGGAATACACAAACCGTCACTGGTAAAATAAGCTCCGCTAGGTGATTTGCAAATCTGGTTTCCAGGAACCTCCAACAGAAGTTCCTTGGCATATGCAGCGGCTGTTGCAGCTGAGTAGCGTTGCCAATTTTTGGATTTGTGCGAATCAGCGTAGTCACAAATGCCACGAATGACAAGGCAAGGAAACCCATCCATCAGCCCTGCCGCTTCCATCTCCACGCAAATGATGCCTAGTTCCTCGGCTAACTTGTCCCTTGTCTGGCTGTCTTTTACGACCGTATTTGACGATCCAACTGTCCCGTAATGGATGAGCGGAGCCGGATTAATCCTTGGACCTCGGTTTTTTGTTTGTGAAGGGTCACAATGATCACAACTGTCCTGAGAACCGTGTATATATGTGCTAAGGAACAAATAGTCGGGGTCGTTAGGTCGCGCGTAAGTACACATGCCGGGATGGCGCTGGATCATATCTGATAGAAGGGAGGGAACCCGAGTCGCTCTCGCCTCATGAGTAGCCTTAAGATTCGATGTAGCTGTGAGCAGTAGCTGAGGAGGCCGAGTAGGGGTGGCTGTTATCTTAAATTTGTTAAGGGACAATTGCTTGCCGAAGTCGAACTGAATCACTTCAGTGCCGACAACAATATCACCGAGTCGGACATCTCTAGAGGGGGTAGGAAGCCCTCCCCCGATACCGACCATCAATCTCTTGTCAATGGCTGGGTAACTTCGACGCATGTTAGCGGCAACTATTGCGGCATTGTTTGTACCGTAATGGGTCAAAGGCAGACAGGCCAGTACGATATTGTGAAGGCCGATATTGCCTAGAGTATAGGTATTGCTGTCGCCCGACAAGGGAGACAAAGGCTTGTGAAGTCGGTCAAGCATAGATTTAGCGGCCGCAAGTTCTATCGGAAGAGCGCAGATCCAGCCCACAGTATAATCTTCGTGTCGGAAGCCATCGTCGAGGCTAGATGAACTCCATCGCGATCGTTTTGCCTGGGGCGGTGATGGCTCTTGTAATTCAAGAGCTCTTTTGCCGCCATGGCCGCTCGCCATTTGGTCCTATGGGTTGTTCCGCGCAAACCTCAGCAGCTGAGGATGATGAGGAAGCAGGAGAGTCAATTGCCTGCGATGAATTCAGCCTCACGAGGCTGTTGGCCGCCTGAACGCACAGCCACTGAATGCGGCCCATTACATCATCTTCCTTCTTGGTCTAGAAACCACAATTTTGTTATTTTAGAGCATTGGGCGATTTTCAACAGGAGATATTCAGTCTGCTTTCCCAAATACTGCCCATTATCTGGACGATGGAGGCCAGTTAGCTCTCTGCCCAGCTAATCCTTTAGTCCTGAACACTCCTCTGTGTGCTGACACCCATGCAGCGGGGTCTCTCTTGGCAGGGTCGTATTGCGATGACTGCATCAATTGAACTCGACCAAACTAGACCTCTTGGCGGAATAGCCGTTAGGTGGCAGAGGATGCAGTGATATCAGCCCAAGACACGACGCACGTCGGGCACGATGACGGGCGATCGTGGGGAACATGGACACAACAACTCCATGAGTGAGACTCTAGAGACATATCTAATGCTCTCTTCGTCGGTGGAGCTATGCAAGGAGAACAGTGAGGTGCTACGTTGACTGTCCACTGGGGCTCAATCACGTCATACAGAGTGACGGAGGGCGGTTTTCTGATACGACCTCGTAGGAATGGGCAGCTTTCAATGGCAGTGGTGTCAGATTGATTATCCTGCCATCGTTTTGAGAGTGCTGGTTGGCGTGTGCCGTGCAGGATTGAAGCTGACGAACGAAAGTACTGCTCGTTCACAGGGCCAAGACCCAGCACTGGAGGGAGAAAGAGGAAGGTCGCTTGACTATCAATGCTGCTGCGAATCAATTGAACAAATGCAGTGTGAATCTCGTATCAATCAGATCGTCCTGAAATGGACACAAGAACCGCACAAAATGGCAGCGGTATGGAGTAAGGGTGATCCTCACTTTACCTCCTGTTGTAATTACAGTAATCATGATCGTCATTAGGGTCGAAACTGGCAGAAGGAGCGCCTCGATCTTATAGGTTCCGCTACGATTTTTACGGTTAAAAATAGTTGAGCGGCTGCACAGCATTTAAGGGCCCGGAACTTAGCAGCTTGGCAGAGCCAGTGGCTTGGTTTCGGGGCGTTTACAGACCTATCACGTTACGCCTAGTGCCGAAAGTCAAGCCTGTGCCTGAAGGTCGAGCCTGTGCCTGGAACAGAAAAATTATAGGATCCCCATCCTGCTAAATTCCTTCATCGTCATCGCCGCCTCGTCTGTCTTGGATCGACGCAAGGAGGGAACGAAGTAGTACTCATGATTCTTACCACCAGCTGCGGCCATCTCACTGCGTTAAGCCGGCCCCGCAGCAGCTGCACAGCAGTGCCACCACCAATGACACCAGCTCCATGATGGGCATCTGGACTGCGTAGACGGAGCCCGAGTGGGGGACCTCCCGTCGAATCGAGCCACCAACTGCAACCCCGTGCTCATTTCACGCATCGCATCACGGCGACGCATTGAATGATCGGATCTCTGCCTTCTCCTTCAGGAAGTCCCCCAGCACGACCAGGAAGGGATGCTCCCGACCTCACAGCGGCATGGGTCATGTTCCCTTGGGGTCCCGCTCTCCACTGCCAGTGACAGACCCCATGTTGCATCATGTTATTACCATGCCGTCTAGATCTAGAGAAGAAGAGTACTTAATGTGACGATGCTGCTCGCTGCTCCTCCGCTGTCTTGTTGTCTTGTTCTGGATATCACGAGGCCATCTGCCCTCCCCTGTCCACCACTAGACTGAATCGCGAATCCCCAAAAAGCCCATGTGCTTGCGCTAGGAGCCATGCGTTTCTCTTCCTTACTCACCACAGCCATGGGCGCGCTGTTATCGACCGTCCGGGCAGCTCCCGCCAACAACCTGCCGCGCGCAGACGGCTCTCTTTCCCTGGTCGACGGCGAGACCAAGTTTACTTTTGATTATGCCACGTCCGCGGCAGACAGCAAGAACTGGATCGGCATTTACCATGCCTCGGGCGGGGGGCCTGAGGACGAGGTCATGGTCAGCCCCTCTCTGAAATGGGGTTATGCGCCTGAATCCAAGGGCCGCCTCACCATCGACGCCTCTGGTCTCGATGCTGGCAAGTACAAGGCCTTCTTCCTCGAAAAGGACGGCTACAAGTGGCTCGCCAATCCCATTGAGATAGCCATTGCCGGAACCAGCAAGGCCAGCTTCCTCACTGACAAGTACACCACCCACAACGCCCGCAAGGGCGACAAGTTCGAGGCCAAGCTTGGGGGTCTGCTGTCTTCAGAGAGTGTTGAAAGCAAGTTCGCCAAGTCTTCTGGTCCCGACTGGGTCAAGGTCTCTGACAGTGGTGTTGTCTCTGGCACCCCCGACAGCGACAAAACAGCCGAGGTTACTATTGAGGCTTCTGGGAGCGATGGTTCCAAGGCCGAGCTCCAGATCACCATCCCCGTCCGAAAGGCCGGAAGCCCCCTTGTGGAAGAGCTCAGCGTGCTCACCTACAACCTGTGGCACGGCGGCACCCAGGTGAATGACTACCACCGCAAGCAGATTCGATACTTTGCAAGCACCAATCCCGACATCATTACCTTGCAGGAGGTCAGTGGTGGACATGCCGTCCGGTTGGCTGAGGCTCTGGGCTGGAATGTCTACCAAAGCGATGCCGCTGGAATCATCACCCGCTACCCAATCGCCGAGGTCTACGACGACTTTTCCCGCTCCAGCTCCGTCCGAGTCCTCCTCGATGGGGAGAAGAGCCAGGTCATTGTTCGAACCGCCCACCTAGGCTTCGATCCGTATGGCCCTTACGACTTCTGCTTTGACCACATGACCGTCGACCAGGTCTTGAAGCGTGAGGCGCAGTCCGGTCGCACCCCACAGATTCTGGACATCGTGTCCAAGATCAAGAGCCAGCTCGCCGACTCCGACAAGGTCCCCGTCATCCTGAGCGGCGACTTCAACGCACCATCCCACCTTGACTACACCGAGGCTGCCTCTGGCCTGCACTGCGGCGTCAAGGACGTTCCCTGGCCCACCTCGGTTGAGCCCACCAACGCCGGCCTCGTCGATTCCTACCGAGAGATCCACAAGGATCCCGCCGCCGACCCGGCCATCACCTGGTCCCCCATCTTCCTCGACAACAACGGCCGTCCCGAGCCCCTGGACCGCATCGACTTCATCTACCACAAGGGTCTCAAGACGCTCAATTCCTTTATCGAGGTGGTCGGCAACCCCAAGGCCCAGCCCAACCACGCCGACAACGAGTGGACTTCTGACCACAAGAGCGTCAAGACTATATTTCAGGTTCCCTCAAGCTCGCGCGGGGATGAGATCTAAAGACACAATAAACGATAATTTGGTTTCTGAGAGTCGAGAAGCGGGGGTGCATATGCTCAGTACTCTGAGCTACAGTTTTGTGATTAGTTTATGCATAGTAGCACTTATGAATTGAAATGAAACCTTTTGCATTGTATTTTCACCTTTCCTCAAAACAACTAACTATGCCTCTTGGTCGTCTAACAAATTTCTAGGTCCAAATAGTGTCGAATGAGTTCTACATTATTTCTCCGAGGCCAATGATGCATACTGTGGAGGATGACTAAGAGCTGTCAGTGGTGGATGGTGGGGTGAAGCCACCACCAAACGAATTTTTGATGGCGGGGCATTTTGATACTGTCGAAAAAGGTATCCGCGAGCCAACGAGACGATAGAGCGAGGGGGATACGAAGAAAACCTGGGCCAAAATAAACCCCGGTGATCAGAAGTGATATCCGAGCCATCGCCATGGGTAAATCGTCCAAAGACAAGCGGGACGCCTACTACAGGCTCGCAAAGGAGCAAGGATGGAGAGCCAGAAGCGCATTCAAGCTTCTACAGCTAGACGAAGGCAGGTTATAATCCCACATTGATAATCAACCCGCTGGCCAATGACTTCAGAGCGCCGACTCCTCGATTGGCATGAGCTAACCTGTCGATATAGAGTTCGATCTCTTCGCCAACGTCTCCCGAGTCGTCGATCTCTGCGCCGCCCCGGGGAGCTGGTCCCAGGTCCTCTCCCGAGTCCTCATCGAGGGCGAGAAGTTTGGCCGGGCGGCGTGGCAGGACAGGGAGGCCCGGATCCGCCAGCAGCTCCTCGGCGTGCTCTCGGAGGAAGGGCTGAGCGAGGAGCAGAAGAAGGAGGTGGAGAGCGACCTGGCCAAGCAGCACGCCGAGTCGAAGCCTCGCGAGGACGTCAAGATTGTCTCGATCGATCTGCAGCCCATCTCGCCCCTTGCGGGCATCACGACCCTCCGTGCCGACATCACACATCCCGCCACCGTCCCGCTTCTACTATCGGCCCTCGACCCCTCCTACGACGCGACCAAGGCTGCCAATAGCAACCAGAGCTCCAGCCCGGTTGACCTGGTTATTTGCGACGGTGCGCCAGATGTTACCGGCCTCCACGACCTCGATATCTACGTCCAGGCTCAGTTGCTGTTCGCTGCCCTGAACCTGGCCCTGTGCGTGCTCAAACCCGGCGGTAAATTTGTCGCCAAGATCTTCCGTGCTCGAAACGTCGACATCCTCTACGCGCAGCTCAAGATCTTCTTCGAGAAGGTCGTCGTCGCGAAGCCAAGGAGCAGTCGGGCTAGCAGCATCGAGGCCTTCATCGTGTGCATCAACTTCAGACCTCCCCCGGGCTTCAGCGCAAGCCTCGAGGAGCCCCTCGGGGTGGGCGATCGCCTGGACAAGCTGCTCCTGGAGAGGCAGAGGCAGAAGCCCATCGTGGCCGAGACTCTTCTGCAGGATCCCGCCAGGGGGACATGGGATTCGCTGCCGGTGGAGCCCTACGATGCGGGCGGCGAGGAGATCACGGAGGTGGAGGCCTTTGACGAGACTGGGGAAGATCTGGAGGCGGCCGGAAAACATACTCGCTGGATTGCCCCGTTCACTGCTTGTGGCGATCTGTCGGCCTTTGATTCGGATGCGTCCTATCGACTTCCGGAGGATTATGTGTCTCTACCGCCCGTTCAGCCACCCATTGCTCCTCCTTATAAGCGCGCGATTCAGCTGAGAAATATCATGTCTGGAGGTGCCCAGAAATGAGTGAATGGACTTCGTTTGCAGTTTTCGGGCCTTTTCTCCTTCTCGGCGAGATATACATCATCTACACACATCTATTGCGGATCTTGGCTCCAATGGCGGCAAGATCGCGACGAGAAGACATCGGTTTACAACATATCCCATCTGGCCAGGAGAGCCATAGCCTTTTATCACTGGTGATGTTTTCGCATCTCAACTCCTCAAAGATATTGCCAACAACCAAGATTTATCCACTCCCTGTGCCCCAGGTGGACGCAATATACACGGACAAATCATCATTCATGGTAGATCATGACCACTGTGTATCGCTGTCAGTTCCACCCCTCACCTCGAGGATTGAAGATGGGACAGCGACTCCCACGTCAGCTCGGAGGAGGTCGCTGGCCATTTACAAACCAATCACAGAGAGCATCGTGTGGACGAGACGCGGGCCTACGATAGCCACTAATGGAGGATGTCCTTGTAGACATCTCCAAGGCCATTCCTGGCGTCATGGTTCCAATACGGAAACTCAGTTTCAGATCTCCTCAGGCGGCAACTTGGTTGAGAATCGAGAAACCGAATTTAGTGAGCTCGGCTGTCCTTTCATGAAGAGTTATCCGGCCGAATCCAAGTCGGTTCAAGGAATCGATCTGAGTGCTGCTAGGAGAGTGGAAGGCGCCAATTGGCTAGATTCATAGAGCTTTCCAAGATTCAATGGAATTCACACGAGAGATCATTCTCTGCTTCAAAATTTATCTTGATTGCCCACACGGTGCATAAATCCCAAGAAGTGGTCCAAAGAAACAGCGTAGTCTGCGTTTCTTCCTCAGGGACCCTCATCATCTTTTTCATGCCCATGTCTCAGGTAAAAATCAGTTGGCTTGCTGATTACGTGCTTGTTAAACACAGCCCTATCACCCAACCTAGTAAGATCTCCTCCCATGGGAATAAGTCAAGTTTCAAAACGCCGACCTTTCCCTTCTTCTCTTTGTCTTTCTCTAAAAAGAAATCCAACAGACCATCGAGGTTAGCCTCTCCTCCTCTATTTTGGAAAAACCCTACTTTCCTTCTCTTGGTCGCCCCGCAACCCAAGCTCAATACCCAGTATCAATTGGAATCCAAAAACGCAATTCAGTGATCCTTCGGCACACCCTTCTCCGCCCTCCCCGGCATCTCAAGCATGATCAGCCCCGCCGAAGGCCCCTTGTCGAACTCGAGCGCGCCCAAGTCCCGCTCGTACATGCGCGCCGAGGCCCTGTCGTTGGCCATGAGCGTCAGCCCCCGGAGGTCGGGCCACTCCATGACCACCTCCTTGACGGAGCGGATCATCCACGAGGCGAGACCGCGCCGCTGGTAGTCGCGGAGCACGAAGACGTCGGTGAGGTAGGCGAAGGAGACGTAGTCGGTGACGAGGCGGGCGAAGCCGACTAGCTTGAAGTCGGGGCCTTCTTTTCGTAAGGGGACGCCGGATTCTGTGAGGGTTTAGGTCATATTTAGTAAAGAATCATTACAGATATTGGTACGCTGGAAGAGACAGGTTTGTATAGAGGGCAATTCCAATCAAAAGGTTTGTTCCAATGAAACAGGGATGAACGCACTTCTCATCTGCTCCTCGGTCTCGGGGACCCAGTACAGACACAACGTCAAACAATTATCGAGCATCTTCTTCATCTGCCCGGGCTCGAGGGGGTCGTTCCACCACATGAGGTCCGACCGGAAGACGTCGTTGACGACGTGGGGCTCCAGGTACCTCTTGTCGGTTGTGAGGAAGAAGTTGTCGCGATACCAGGAGCGAGGCTTGCCCTCTGGCTGGGGTTTGCTCACGCGGAGGCCCATTGTCTAGTACCTAACGACTTTCTCGTGTCCTTTCGATGGGAAATTGATGAAGAGATCACCCCATGAGGGTTAGATAGGCTATAGAATATCCACGTTTTGGTCTCGAGAAGTACAAATTCGTGTGTCTAGGTTGTTATTAGGAAGAGTTACAGAAGAACAAAGAAAAGTCCAAGCCGGCTTCCTCATGAAGTAGAATAAGCTTTGTGCACCGTTCCCCCCAGCACCAGTTTTCTCATTTTAACTTCCCTCCTCGGGCCCCATGTATTCTGGCTCTTTTGTAACGTGCACCGCTGCTGCTGGCATTACCGCTTGCTGGTTTTGATCATGTTACGTAGTTGGTTACGGCTAGCTGCGGCTCCAGATGGGCGTGTGATCGGCACGGGGAGTCCCAGAAGGCGGAACTTGGGGTAATACGGGGCTACTCGACTTGGTCAGCTGGACCCCCAATCGCCTGCCGACCAACCAGGAAATCTCGGATCTAGCTCTAGGGAGATCACAGATTGTGTAGGGAGAGTTCAAGATGTGTGAGACCCGTGATTGGATGTGTATGCGGGAAGAGATAGGGGAATCGGATCTCAAGGGAAGGAACATCAGACCCCGCGTGAGTGCGATTTTGCATTCCTCGCGGATGAGCCAAGCCAAGCCAAGCCCATGATCGATCTATGCCAGGGTGGTTTGTTGATTACTCCGAGCCAAACTGACCGACAGTCCGATACTGAGAGAGAGGAGACTTACACGGCGAAATACAGAAAGCGTCAATGACTCGCGGCGTTAACATTGCATTTCCATTACTAACACTCATATGACCTTCCCGCCCAGTCTTTACGATCACTACCCGAAAGTCGTGAGTGGCTGCATGTAATGAGATCACAGGGCTGGTGACGTTTATAGGTTAATCCCCCTCCCGGACCGAACAGGGAAACTTTGACGGCACACAGTGCTTTAGCAGACAAGGGAGATGGACACTACTAGCAAACGTGGAGACGGCACAGGACAAATTCCCAGTTCCATGACATTAATCAATTGGTTTTATACAGAGGTATTTAGTACTAATCTACAGCATGGCAAGGCAGGCGGCGGCACCAGCAAGCAGGCACGAGCCCATGATGGCAGCAGTGGGAGCGGCAGCGGCGGCGGGGACCGACGAAGAAGCGGCAGCAGAGGAAGAGCCAGTGGCCGAGGAGCCAGTCGAGGAGCCAGTCGAGGAGCCAGACGCGCTCTCGTCGCTGGACGACTCAGAGTCAGAGGAGGCCGGGGTGGTGACGGAGGCAGAGCCAGAAGCAGAGGTGAGCGTGGGGAGAACAGCCGCAGACGTCGTCTGGCGGGAGCTGCCACTGCTCGACGACCCCTCGGCGCTGCTGGAAGCCGCCGTGGTGGTACCCTCCGAGGAAGAGGCCGAGGTAGTCGAGGCGGACACGACGAGCGTCGTGGAGGCCGCCTGGGGCGCCTTGCCGAGCGTGGCCGGGTTGATGAACTTGGGCGAGTAGGTCTCGGTGCCCTTGTAGGCCGCGCAACCGGGGACGGTCGTCTTGGGGGGCGCGCGGCCGCCGCCGCAGTCGAGGATCTCGCAGAGCTCGCCCGTGTCGGGGACGTACCAGATGCGCGTCGCGTAGGGCGAGCCGTGGGAGGGACTGTAGACGGTGTCGAAGGAGGTGCAGCCGCCGATGTCAGTCTTGGCGACGGCGCTGGAGGCCAGGAGAGCGGCCGCGGCGAGGATGCGGAAGGCCATTATTAATATTAGAAGAGATCGCTATCTCTGAATTTTCTTATGCAAAACGAGTGATGGGACTGTCGATAGTCGAACAAGTTGAACGAATGACTGGGTGAGACCTGCAAAAGAGGGCAGCAGGAGAGGAATAAGAAGGAAAATCTGGAATTCACGGTCTGTTCATTCTTCGCCTCCGTTAATATTACCATTCCCTATGTGGGCAGGTAATTGCTTGGCGCTGTTCCTGGGAGTAAGCGCTTGGCACACATTGGGCCTGTCGCCTGGAAATAACTGGTGATGGACTCGTCCCCGTAATCATCTCATGTTATAATGCCGGTTTAACCGACTCTTCACCGAGCTCGAATCGTGATAGAGCTGCGGGATGGACCAGCACAGGTATCTAACCATGATGCTTCTTTCAATTGGATATAGAATAGAGACAATGAACTTCAGACACTCATAGCGACACTGCCTGGGTTGCCCTCTATGTTGCATGAAAGTCGGCAACACCGTACGGGATCCTCGCTTGGTCTGGTCTCTGTTTCAGGACGAGGTTCGTAGTCTCGGTGAATCACGAACCAGGTCTCGATTCACAGGGAGAGGTTTCAGAACTTTAAACAGGCAGTTAACTAGAATATTCGGCACACACAATCAACAGTATTGTTCAGTACACGGCATGTATTGCTGCTAGCACGGATTCACAGTGAAGCCAAAGATTGGGACAAGAGTGTATTGGAGCCTTTGAACTAATAACAGCGTTTATAGAATATAATAAACAGGGCCTCTTGAGGGCGCAGAACTTAAAATCAAAACACACACGGATTCCCAGGTACAACAGGCATTATAAGAAATATAGAAAAACACAATTCAACTTTTCGTTTACTGAGGACCGGACTGGGAGAGAGCAATCTTCTTCCAGTGGTCACGCTCAGCCTCCAGCTTAGCAATGCGCTCCTCGAGCTCGTCGAATCGCAGAGCCTTTCGCTCACGCGACTTTCGAGCAGCAAGGGTGTTTCGAGCGCGCTTCATTGCAATGGTATCGTTAGGGTCCTCGACGATGATAGGAGGAAGGGGCTTGTCTCGCTTGCGAGGCGCAACACCGGCAACTGAAGAGTGGCGGGCCCCCGAAGTGGGGGAACCTCCAGACTTCTTGCGGTTGCTGGCAGGACGCTCTGGTTCCAAATCCTCGGATCGGAGAGCAGGGGAGTTGTCCACAGGCTTCTCCGAACCAGAGTCATTGGGGAACAAAGAGTACCAGGAGTCTATGGGAGGACCGTCAAAATCGGCAGAACCAAAGTTTGGAGACACATCAAAAGCATCAAAGTCGGGAGACTCGTTGATCGATGGAGATGTCAGCGACGTGAGGGCAGCCGAGTTTGGTGCAGACATGTAAGGCTCATTGACGAGAAGATCATGAGGCGAGACGGTCCCAAGATTAGAGGTGGAGCTATGAGCGCTGCCACCGAAATCAAAGGCGGTAGGAATCGCTGGCGACGAGAAAGCGGTGTTAACCCCACCCTCGAAAGGGATGAAGTCATCCAAATCGACGTCTGGAGAAATTGGTGAGCAATGTGGCTGAGATACGGAGGATGAGGCACTATGAAACAAACCTGCTGCGTTCATCATCTTGGCGGTTTGAACTTGACCGGTGCTCTGATTAAACAATGGCACGGGAGGTCTCCTTAACCGAGAATGCTGATTCAGAGAGACTGTAGATGACGGAGCTGAAGACGCGTAGAACTGATTGCTGAAACGTTTGTTGGAATTGACAGAAGACGGTAACTGATGATGACCAATAGCCTGGATGATCTGTGTCACTCTCTGGTTCTGGACAGCAGAGGCAGACGGTTGTTGCGACTGTGGTGTCAGATTGGCAGGGATGTGGGCAGAGTGACGTCGATGGCTAGACAGTTGTTGAGGCCTATTAGGGGCTGGACTGGCAGGCGAATTGTCGAACAAGACAAAGTCCTGAGGCAGATTGTCGTTCTGATGATTGTGCTCGGATTTGGCCGGCAAGCTGGGAGTTGAGTTGGGAAGCCATGTTGACTGGGAATCCGTGGTGAAGACTGGGAAGTCTAAGCCTGAAATGGTGGCGGTATTGAGGGAACTCGAGCGGGTGCTAGATGCAGTGCTGAAGTTCAAATCAACCAAATGGTGATTTGAGTTGAGGGGGGGAGTGGAGATTGTGGGAATGTTTTTCTTTGAAGACTGAATGGTGGCGGCTGAGGCACGATGATTACTCCATCTTGAATGAGGCTCTGAGGCTGCTGTGATATTCTATTGTGTGTGTATGAAACTTGGGGTTGAAGGAGAAGAGGGAGAAAAAAAAAAAAAAGGAGTGGGGAGTGGTGGTGCCTAGAGGGTTATGTAGATTTCTGAGGCAGAAACGCATCAGGCTGCGGAAGAAGTGCCCGCTAACAGAACCCACACCATTGGTTGCAGAAAGGTTGTTAAGCCGCGAGTTCCTGAGGTACGTACTGGTACGTGCTGGGCAAGCCCCGTCTCGCAGGGCGCAAGTGATGTCTTGGGTATGAGTCACACTTGGAAAGCGGGGCGCCATCTTTCCATTTTGGGACTCGCCGTGCGACGAGCGCCGCCCATTGGCCACCGCAGGGAGCAAAGCCCCCCAAGCAATTTGCGGAGCAGCCAGGGGGCCGCTATTTGGAAAGCCTGGGGGGACGCCTGGCCAGCATCAGTGCAGGTGCGTCCGGTGCTGACACCCGTGCGATTGGACGGACCCAAACCGAGGGGAACGAGCGGCCAGGCAGAGCAGGCATCGCGGGCAGGCTGCATCACCAAGGGAGCGAAAACGGAGAGCCTGGCCCCGCGGCCTTCGAATATGTGATACCTCGCGCCAACCACGCCCTTCCGAATCCTCGTGCGCTCTCATGCAGTGTGCCCCTTGGACTAGACTCAAATGCACACAAACGGACCGTCTCTCCAAAAGCCCTAATCGAGCTCGGCGAAAGTGGCCGCTACTTCGCCTATAGCATGAAGCCAGAGCCACTAGAACTGAGGCTTGGCTGGGGGCCGACAGCCGCAATGGAGGGGGGCTAAGCTTTAGTGCAAGCAGCCAGAATCCCACCCAAAATTGTCCATCCTACGCTGACATATACGTTTGGGATTATGAAATGCGCTCAGCGCTAGACCTCCTGAGCTGCTCTGCGGGTACAATTCCCGCCAGCCTGCCCTGCGATTGGGTTGAGAGGTGGCTTCGCTTTAACGAGCCGGCCAATCACGATGATGTCGGCTAATGCACGATGCCCACCACTCGCCAACGGCCGTCGTCGTCCTCCATATACGAATATAGCCGCGTCTCGCAATACGTGACGAGGCATCCACTGTGTAGGGTAGGCGTCCTAGCCAAGTCCTAGAAGGCGATTCGTATCACCTGTTGTGGAATTCTCGGGTCCTCCTTGGTGCTCGAGGAATATTGCGCAAATTCGTAATCATGCTGAGAAACGGCTAACTTGTGTTGCGAATCAGATTGGCGTGCTTGCCATAGCCCTTCGTATTCGCCTCTGCTGCAGCACATAACAGCCAATAGCCTCCATCTACAATTGCTTGGCCCCTTCGCAGGTGGGCCAGTTTCTGTTGGCAGCTTCCACGTCTTCACCCGTTCAAGCTACTTGCGTGGACAGCATAGCTGTTTGAATTTGTAGAACAAACAATGCGCATCTCGTGGCCCGTCGTTTTCGGTTAACATATGGCAATTTCCCTAAACAGCTTGTTGGCACGTACCCAAGTTTGTTGGACCTTTCGAAGATCATGGGCCGGGAGTTTATTTTAGTTCCACAGGTGTTGGCTTACGCCACTCTGTTTCTAAGTTTATCGATCTTGCAAACAACCCCAATTGCTGGCCATCACGTACTGAACTTCTCACACTCATGTGGCGTGGCAATTATTCTAGAGTGGTAGGCACATAGTCTATTCCAGTAGGCTGCTGTACGCAATGCTTCCAAGGTAGTGGTTTAGGTTAGATAGGTTACGAGGACGGTAGGATCGCGTCTGCGAGAATGAATAAACTGCCGTGGCTAGTAAGGCGAACCTACCCTGAAGCAACCACAACGTTGAAGAAAGACACATAACTCTATGTACTGGGTGCCATAGGATTCCTTTAAGAGTCAACGCGTGACTTTGGATTTTTCTATTATAGACCTGTTCCAACTGAAATTTTGTAAGCGAAGCTTGATCACTGAGCTGGGACAAGAAAGTGCAACTTGTCTGTCAGACGAGGCAAAATGTTACCTTGCGACTTGGCTGTAGCTGCCCGCGTCCAATATCATGTGAGGCAGGCTGATGTTGCCCACATCTGATCCTACGTTGGGTATCAATCAAACTTCACATTTCGTGTCAGCCCACGGCGGCCGGTACCGTTGATCACCTTCGAGTGTTCTTTCAGGACCCAAAGATTCGTCGATTAAGGATCGGGCATCGATATTCCTGGCCTGAAGTATCAATGCCCATACAGCCCACGGGAAGGAATGCCTAACTCAGAGGACTACACAGTGGGATGGATCTGTGCTATTGTCAAAGAATATGTTGCGGCGCAAGTCTTCCTCGATGAGAGATATCCCAGCCCCGAGTTCGTGGCTTGCAATGACAGTAATGCCTACGCACTGGGAAGAATGGGGAGACATAAAGTTGTGATAGCTGTGCTTCCCGACGGAGAGTATGGTATATCCGCTGCAACAGGGGTCGTGAAGGATATGCTGCACAGCTTTCCTAACGTCAGAATCGGCCTTATGGTTGGCATTGGCGGTGGAGCACCCAGCCCAAAGCATGATATCCGGCTGGGTGATATTGTCGTCAGTGCTCCTCGCGACAATAGTGGCGGTGTGTTCCAGTACGACTTCGGCAAGACAATTCAAGACCAGCAATTCTACACTACTGGGTTCTTGAACCAGCCTCCGACCCTCCTGCGTTGCGCTGTAGCTGACATCAGGGCCAAATTTGAGATAGAAGGTCACCAGCTTGAAGCTGCCATTGAGGCTGTTCTCGAAAACAAGCCAACGCTTCGCAGGAAATACAAACGGCCGAACCAAGACAGCGATAGACTGTATCAAAGTGAAGTTGTTCATCCTGTAGCTGATGACGAGGCCTGTATCACGACCTGTGGTGATGGTCCGCCGACTGCGATAGCACGGCCTGAGAGAACCGATGAAGATGAGAACCCAACAATTCACTACGGCCTGATTGCTTCAGCAAACCAGCTAATGAAGGATGCTTTCGTTCGGGACCAACTTGCCAAAGAAAAGGATGTGTTATGTTTCGAAATGGAAGCGGCTGGGCTGATGAACCAATTTCCTTGCCTAGTAATCCGCGGTATATGTGACTATTCAGATTCCCATAAGAACAAGGAGTGGCAAGGTTATGCAGCAATGACGGCTGCCGCATACGCCAAGGACCTCCTTTGTTGCATCCCCCCGAATAAGATCGAGGCCGAGAAAAAGATTAAGGACATTCTTTCTGATAGTGGGTTATTATAACTATTCTCGTTTCCTTTCACTGTTTCTAACACTATTCAGTCGGGACGAGTATCAAAAACATCGACTTAAAGTTGAGCAGAAAGGAAGATCTTGAAATGCTCAAATGGCTCAGCCCAACTGATTACGACGCGGAGCAGAACGATCATTTTGGACAAAGACAAGAGAATACCGGCCAATGGTTTATCAATTCCTCCGAGTTTCGAAATTGGATCGAGATCAGTGGGCAAATTTTGTTTTGTCCAGGGATTCCAGGAGCAGGAAAGACAATAATGGTGTCAACAGTGATTGACCATCTGAAAACTCGCTTCTTGGAAGATGAGTCTGTTGGTATCGGCTTTCTTTATTTTAACTTCAGGCGTCAAGGCCAAAATGTGCAGGATCTCTTCAGCAGTTTGCTGATGCAACTTAGCCGAGGCCGACCAGCTCTACCGGTTCAAACACTCTATAAGAAACATCAGGCAATGTTCACTCGGCCTCAGATTGATGAAATATTGGAAACCCTTCAAGCTCTAATATCGATGTATGAAAGAGTATTCATCGTTGTCGACGCACTCGATGAATACCAGTCCTCTGATGGTTGTCTGGATACTTTTTTAACCAACATATTCGAGATCCAATATGAGACTCAATTAAACCTCATGGCGACATCGAGACATATTGCGGAAATTGAAACGAGGTTTCGTGGGGGGAGCTTACTGGAAATACGAGCTGTAGACGAAGATGTGCGAACGTATCTGGTTGGCCATATGGATAGACTGCCAAACTTCGTCCGGCGTGATGCCGAGTTACAAAATCGAATAAGGTCCACAATAGCTCAGGCTGTCAATGGAATGTATGTCGTAACTTTGCCCCTGTTCATGTCTGAAAGCTCTAACAACTTGGGTTAGGTTTCTTCTCGCTTCTTTACATATAGACACCCTCTCTAAGGAGCCTACAGTCGGTCATCTGGAACTGGCATTGAATACTTTGCCCAAGGGACTGGATGAGACGTATGAGCATGCTTTAGTGCGCATCGAAAGGCAAGGTGGGGGACTCCAGCAACTAGCAAAGGCGGTCTTATCTTGGCTGGTGTTTGCACGCAGACAGCTTTCTCCGGCTGAGCTCCAATGTGCCCTTGCGATAAAGCCTGGAAGTTCGAAGCTGGACAGAAAGTTTATCCCTGATGTTGAAATGATAGGGTCAATCTGCGCGGGTCTGGTTACACTAGACACCGAAAGCAACGTCATCCGGTTGGTCCATATGACAACGCAGGAATATTTCGAGCGCACACACGACCGATGGTTACCGAATGCAGAAAATGATATCACAAGAGCTTGCGTCACGTATGTTTTGTTTGACGAGTTCAAGAGTGGTCCTTGTCTATCAGACAATGAGTTCATGGAGCGTCTGGAATCAAACCAACTTTACCGCTATGCAATAGATCATTGCGTTTGTTCCCTCCAGGATTCTGCAGAATTACAAAAAGAAACAATGATGCTCTTACATTCTAAGGGGAGTTTAGAAGCTGCAATTCAAACTTATATTGTTGCGAAATATATCTCTCCCATGTATCCTTTTGCAAATCACAGCCAATCATTCCCGCAGGGAGTGAGCATGCTTCATGTGGCAGCCTATTGTGGGATAACCAAGGCAGTAGAAATCCTTCTCTTAAGCGGGGCTGAGCCCTCTGCGAAGGATGACTCAAATCGAACGCCGCTCCTTTATGCCGCCGCAAGTGGTTATGAGACTGTAGTAAAGCAGCTTCTCGATGCTGACCAGACTATTGTTGATTTGATGGGTAGGGGCTACCGAACACCGCTTTCATATGCTGCTGAACGTGGCCATGCTAGCGTAGTCAGGCTACTACTTGATACTGGCAAGGCCAAAGTTGACTTGAGAGATCATACTGGTCGAATTCCTCTTTCATATGCGGCAAAATGCGGCAATGGGGACATAGTCAAGCTACTACTTGAAACAGGAAATGCGATCGCCGACTGGATAGATAATAAAGGCCGATCACCACTATCATATGCGGCAAGATATGGCTACGGGGATATAGTCAAGCTGCTACTCGAAACCGGTGATGTTGATCCCGACTCAAAAGACGTAAATGGTCGGTCACCATTATCATATGCGGCCGAGCACGGCGATGAGGCTACAACCAGGTTGCTTCTTTATACCAATACTGTTGATATAAACTCCAAAGATAAAGATGGCCGGTCACCGCTTTCATATGCTGCCGGGAAAGGCAACGAGGCTGCAGTTAGGCTGCTACTTGGTATAAGTTCAACTGATGTCAACTCAAAGGACAATAGCAATATGACACCGCTTTCACATGCTGCCAACAACAACCATGAAAGTATTGTTATGATGCTTTCTGACCGATGGAATCGTGACGGTCGGGCAGCTAGTGACTGGCAGGCGGACATATTCGACCCTTCCATGCTCCATGACCACATCGTGGACATACTGCTCGAAAAGGGAAAGCTGGATATTGCCTCAGAGAATGGTCGATCTCCGCTCTTCTGGGCAGCCAGAGCTGGCGTAAAGACGACAGTTGAGCTGCTTCTCAAGTTAGGAAAGATTAATGTCAACGCGAAGGATATCTTCTTTGGCCGCACACCGTTGTTATGGGCTATTGAAGGGGGAAAAGAAGAAATGGTCAAGCTGCTCCTTGATGTACCGAACATTGACGTCAACCTGAAAAGCGGCCAAGGCCGCTCGCCACTACTTTCAGCTGTTTTTCGAGAGAATGAGACTATAACGAAGCTTTTGATCAGCACAGGCAGGGTTAAAGTTAATTCGAAGGATTTGATGCATGGCATGACGGCATTTGGATACGCGGCTATGAATGGGAACGTGGCTATTATGAGGCTGCTTCTCGATACAGGAATGGTCAACATTAACGCGAGATCACGTGAAGGTCACACCCCATTATATCATGCTGTCATGAGCGGTCAAGAGGCTGCAATGATGTTACTACTTGATACAGGAAAGGCCGATATTGAGTCAAGGCACTTAGATGGTGTGCCGCTACTCCCATTGGCTGCTCGGAAAGGGCACGAGGGCCTAGCTAAGTTCCTCCTTGATAGAGGAAAGGCTGATGTTAACTCAAGAGGTTGGAAGGACAAAACGCCAATTATACTTGCTGCTGAACGGGGGCATGAGGGTGTAGTGAAACTGCTGCTCGAGACAGACGGGTTAGATATTGATCTGAAGGATTCCTTTGGGCTCACCGCGCTCGACTGGGCAAAGAAAAACAAGCATGAGGCTGTGAGGGAGTTACTGCAAGCTCGATTGAGCACATAGGACATATGTTGAATTAATGATATTTACACATCCGAGAGCGTTTCCTATCAAATTGCGTGCCGTGAGCACATGCCGGATTGAATCGTGAGACTCCTAGGTGAGGGCATATCGAGAACGTAAAAAGCATTTGGCAAGCATACCTACCGATTCTCTCTAGCCATACACGAGAGTCAGCGAGCACGGCTTATGGATAGTGACGACCAGGGTGAATTCGGCAGCTGCAGGCATCTCCGCCCACACGCAACATCTTGACCCACGAGACATGTCTTTGGTGGTCTTGATTGGGAGAGATAGTAAAGCCGCTACCGGCATGCAGCGGCCCGTTGGGAGATAAGAGAGGGGAAGTGGGTGAGGATACGGCTTCGACGATCAATCAAAACTTCCCTTCCGCTCCGACGACGGCCCGTCTTCCTTGGTGAACATGGAAGAAAGCTGTGGTTAATGGGGTAGCTAACCCCGCATCTTCAAGTTGCCATGAATGTGGGACTCGATGTAGTTACTGAGTGGCTCCTCTTGCCATTGGATAGACCCTGACCCTGATTATCTACGTAGTCCATGTTCTCATCCCGTAGGATAGACCAAAGCCGAGTGTTTTCTTTGACACCAGTGCTTTTTTAAGTATATTGCCTGACTTGGGTGAACCCAACTGAGTACCACAATGCCTAGCCTACTAGAACAGAATGAATCCATCTTCACTCCGAAGATCGCCGCCAAGCTGAAAGCCGCGAGCGACAAGGCGTCCAGGGACTTCCGCTCAGATGTAGTCACGGTTCCCACCGAGGGAATGATGGAGGTCAAGCTCGTCCGGTTCACACAAATAGAAAAATGATAGAGAAGTTAACCCCTTTTGTTGGCAGGCTATTCTGAATGCAACGTTCAATGACGACATCTACGATCCCGAGGGCGACCCATCAGTGAAGGCCCTCGAGGCCAAGATCATGGAGCTTACAGGAAAGGAGGCGGCACTGTGGACGATGTCAGGCACGCAGGGCAACCAGATCTGCCTCAGGACGCACCTCATACAGCCACCTCACACGGTCCTCTTGGACCACCGGGCACACATACAATGCTGGGAGTCCGGGGCTCTACCAGTCTTCTCTCAAGCTTCCGTTACGACTGTCCATCCGAAAAACGGCGTGTTTCTGACGTTGGAAGACGTAAAGGCGAATATGATAGCTGATGGCAACAGTAAGCTTGAAAGGGGGGCCCTGCTGAGGAAGTTTGAATTAACTTTCGGTACTAGTTCACTTCCCGCCCACGAGGGTCGTTGCCTTGGAGAACACTATGAGCGGCACTGTTCTGCCCCTGCAGGAGGCGAAGAGGATATCCGACTTTGTACGATCCTTCCCTGTCCCGGAGGACTGCAAACCTGTTGCCATGCATCTTGACGCGGCCCGGGTGTTTGACGGTGTGGCCGGAGAGGGTGTCCAGCTTAAAGAATATGCTGCTTGCTTTGACAGCCTTTCTATTTGTTTGGCCAAAGGACTAGGCGCCCCCATGGGCAGCGTGATTGCGGGTACAAAACCATTCATCGAGCGGGCGAAGTGGTACCGCAAGATGTTCGGCGGAGGAACCAGGCAGCCCGGCATGATGGCCGCTGCCGCTCTTGCTGCACTGGAGAACGCTGTTCCAAAACTCCCAGGAGTCCATGCCATGACCAAACGTGTGGCATTTGAGCTTGACAAGCTGGGGTATAAGTTTGCCTTGCCCGTGCAGACTAACATGATCGTCCTAGATCTGGAGGCTGTTGGGATTCCTGGCTCTGCGTTTGTGGAATATTGCGCCCGGAGCAACCTCGCCACATTTCCTAACGGTAGATTGGTATTCCATCACCAAGTGACTGAGGAAGTTAGCCAGGCGCTGATCAGCGCCCTGGGAAGGTTGATGAAGGATAAGATTGATGGTGTGAAGTTGTCGGATAAAGAGTTGCAGTCAGGATGCTCCTAGATGTTTCCGTTATATCGTTGGGGTCAGAATCACCCTCCGATCTCCTAAGTATCAATATAAGGTAGACCAAGAGCTTGTTGATAGAATTTCTGTCCCAGGCTACTTGTCTGTGAGCCCATCCAAGAAACTATCCGCTTGTCGTTTTGCACGTCTGTCCGCCATATCTTTCCTCCGTTGTTCAATTTCAAGCCGACGGGCTTCCTTTTGCGCATCTCGTTCCTTGCGTTGCTCCTCTGTTCGTTTCCTTTCCTCTTCCAGGTTCTTCATCTCCTGGGTCCGCGTTTCCTCATCCTTGCTGAATTTGAAGAACCCGACACCCTTGGTTCGGATCTCCCAGTCCGCGTCGTAGTGCTTTAGCTCAGGCGGCGTGGCACTGCGGTCTCGTTTCCGTGCTAGTTCCTCCATTTTATCAAAGTCGTCTGGGTTGAATGCCATCGACTGAACGGTGTCACCGACTATCAGCTTTTCAGGCGCAAGGGGGCGAGCGGACATCCTCTCCAGCTCCTCTGCACCAAGAAGACCTCGCTTTACTCTCCGGTCGAGCTTTTCCTTCTCGGCCTTGGACACTTGGCGAACTCGTCCAAACTCGTCCTCATACTCCACCATCTCGCCTCCGTCGTCCGACTCATCGTCAGAGCTACTGGTGGCGTACCCTTTCTTCTCTTCCTCATTCTCCGCCCACTTGCGGTCAAAGTCAACGAGCGGGGCCGCCTCGTTCTCCTTGGGCACGTAGTCTCCCCTCTTCATCGCGGCGTAGAGGCGAGCCTTCATCTCCATCTTGCGCTTCGCGCGTTCCCTCTCTGCGGCCTCATCCTCTGTTCCGACGACGTCTTTGAGAACTAGCTTGCCATCATCTTCTTTGTCGTCCTGCTTCTTGGGCTTTCCCGTGAAGAGGTCCTTTTTTGCTTGCTTGCCCTGGCGCGACCGCGCAGCGGTGGACTCTGACGACTTGGCATTTGACATGAGGGACGTCAGCTGAGCGGTGAAGTCTAGTGACGTTGAGAGTTTGGTATCGCGCTTTTGCTTCTTTATAGGCCGCTGGCCGTAGAGGTTGGGATCCTGTGGCATTTTGATGCTGTTCTAGGCTCCAGGAGGAGCGTGGTGGACGCGATCAGGCGGACTGTCCGCTCAAGGCTCAAGGAGAGATTATGAAATAGTGTCGCTGATTCTGGAGGTTGAAATATTAGGAAATGAAAACACGAGAAAGTGAACTCTTAATGCAACAAGCATCACCTTGTCGAGTTCTCGAGGCGTGGTCGGCACATGATACTTGGAAATTGATTATGTCAGCTTTCCCTTATTTGGAGACTGGGCTAAGAGTTGGCCTTCTTCTCTTTTATCACCTACCTAGCTCGGTAGGTAGCTCAGAAGCTCCAGCCGGGACCTTGGCCGAGCTTATTTTAGGAACATTGTCACTGGATAAGAATTTTAGAAGTGATCCTGAGCATGAGGCTGAATGAAAGCAGCTGGACGTGATGTAATGCTGTCTTGAACACAATGGAAAACGTGCACCGAAATGAGTTGTAGAATAGGCCGCTGGTCGGGATAACATACTGGAATAGGAAAGTAGGCAATACTTGTCTAATTAAGACGGACGACATTGTCGGAACCTGTCCCTGGGAATGTATTTTTGGCGATTGGCATTACCTTTCGGGCGACGAATCCGACGTGGGGTCGAGCACGCCAGTCTCAGCTCTTTTCTGCCCCGCCATCCCACCATCCGCCATCGGCCCTCGATTTTGTCCCTCATCCCTACAACTACAGCTATTCGCTACGACAGCCAAAGTTGGGTCAATCGCATCATCACAATGTCAGCTGCAAAGCAAGTCTACATTGCCGTTATTGGTTGGTTCTATATTATCAGGATTAAGCACCCAGTGAATTGACCGAAACTGACCACTCTGATCCTTTCCAGGCGCTGGTGGCGTTGGAAAATGCTTCCTGTCCCAGCTCCAGGCCCTAGCTGCCCGCAAGCCTTCCCCCAAGCTGAATCTTGCCTACATCGCGACTAGCCGAAAAGCCCTTTTCAACGATGACTACTCCGCGATCGATATCGGAAGTGCCGTCGACTCCCTTGCCGGATCTTCCAAGAGCCCTCTGGCCCTCTCCCAGGTTGTCGATTACCTCGCTGCCGCACCAGCCAAGGCTGTCCTGGTCGACAACACTAGCTCCCAGGACGTCGCAGAGCTCTACCCACTGGCCCTGAGCCGCGGTATTAGCATCGTGACTCCCAACAAGAAGGCTTTCTCAGGCTCCTACAAGCTTTGGCAAGATATTTTCTCTGCCGCCGCCTCTTCTGGTGCAAAGGTCTACCATGAGTCATCCGTCGGCGCTGGCCTCCCTGTTATTTCAACACTCAAGGACCTCGTTGAGACTGGTGACAAGGTTACCAAGGTCGAGGGTGTGTTCAGCGGAACCATGTCTTTCCTCTTCAACTCCTTCGCTCCCACCGAGGGCCAGGGCGGAAAGTGGTCTGCTGAAGTCAAGAACGCCAAGGCTCTTGGCTACACCGAGCCTGACCCCAGAGATGACCTGAATGGTCTTGATGTGGCTCGCAAGCTGACCATCCTCGCGCGCCTAGCTGGTCTGCCCGTCGAGTCGCCCACCTCATTCCCTGTCCAGAGCCTGATCCCCAAGGAGCTCGAGTCCGTAGCAAGCGGCGACGAGTTTCTTGAGAAGCTTCCTGCCTTTGACCAGCAGCTTGAGGACATCAAGGCTGAGGCCGAGAAGGAAGGAAAGGTTGTTCGTTTCGTCGGGAGCATTGACGTTGCGACTAAGAGTGTCAAGGTCGGTTTGGAGAAGTTTGACCGTTCTCACCCAATTGCCGCTCTCAAGGGCAGCGACAACATTATCAGCTTCTACACCGAGAGATACGGCAGCAACCCGCTCATCATCCAGGGTGCTGGAGCTGGTGGTGAGGTGACTGCCATGGGTGTGACTGGCGATTTGATCAAGGTCGTGTCGCAGATTGCATAAGCTAGTAAAATTTGATTCCAAAAGTTGGACCTGGACCAATTATATTTGCTCATTTAGTCTGCTGTGATTGGCTTTCTCGTCGCGTGATCTTCTTTTCGTCGGGCTGGGGGGTGGTGATGCAGCATGCGCCACATGGTTCGTATTCGGAGGCAGTGTTTGCTTTCGACATTGTCGCCAGATCCATATGAAGATATCGAGAATGATGAGGAAAATGAATGGGCCGGATAAGATGATGCCCATCCCGAGCTAAAGTGGCCAGAGTTAGCGCGCAGTCACATATAAATACGTCTGTAGAAGCTCCTGATGGTGTTGGCTTACGCAAAAAAGGGAGACGAGATGGACGATCATGGATGACGTGGGGGAAATGATCCCGCTCAGTATCCAGGACGATTCCGCGACTGCTTCAGACATGGTGATAGATAGCTCTGGCGATGAAGGAGAAGAAGGTAGTTCACATCAAGGTTAGCAAGGGGTCAACAAGGGCTTTTCAATCAGCCCGCATCCTTGCACGTGTCTGATGCACGATCGTGTGATGGGCTCGTGAAGATCACGGAATTGGGAGATAAACTCCTGTCTAGCTCATTTCCGCCGAGCCCGGTGTCGTAGATAAGGTGGAGCTCGGCAGAGCTGCCCCCACCGCCTTCCCTTTCAGGCCCCAGCTGCAAAACCCTGTAGCATCAAAGAGTTTCCATGTGACAAGCAGCAAAAAAAAGATCAGACTACAGATTCATATCCCCTCGCCCAAATCAGATTGCAGAGGGACGCCCTGCAAATCGCAAAGATGCCCAAAGCCACGGGATACAAGCAAGAGCAGCGCGAAGCCTACCGCCAAAACAAGGAGCGAAATGGCGGCGCACAACTCCCCCAGAAGCGGTTTTATCGACAGCGCGCACATGCAAATCCCTTCTCGGATCATTGTTTAGAATAGTAATATGCGCACAGCTCCTGGCTCATAAAACTTACTCGGCTAACTCCTGACCAGCCCGGCAGCTCCCGACCAAATGGACTGGGCCCCATACTTTCCAGCATTTGTTGACCAGTCTGAGTCCAATGACCCGTCTAAGCCAAAGCCCCTCACAAAAGATATCGAGGTTGTTGACATTGGCTGTGGGTTTGGCGGGCTCTTGGTCGCATTGGCGCCTCTCATGCCAGAGACGCTTATGCTCGGTGAGTCAATCAATTCGGAGAAGATGGCATCTTGTCTACGAACCCCGTATCCTTCAACAAGTTTACTAAACATCCATATTTAGGCCTTGAAATCCGATCAACTGTGTCTGATTTCGTCAAGGAGAAGATCTTGGCGCTCCGAGCCCAGAACCCAGGTGGTCCTTACCAGAATGCAGCCTGTCTACGGGCAAATACCATGAAGTTTCTCCCAAATTTCTTCAAGAGAGCTCAGTTGAGCAAGGTCTTCATCTGCTTCCCAGACCCGCACTTTAAGAACCGCAAACACAAGGCGAGAATTGTATCATCAACGTTGAATTCTGAATATGCCTATGCCGTAAGGCCTGGCGGTATAATCTATACCATTACTGATGTAGAGGCTCTTCACCATTGGATGGTTGAGCATCTGGATGCGCACCCTCTGTTTCAGAGAATCCCGGAGGAGGAACAGGAGAAAGACGAATGTGTACAAGTGATGAGGACGGAAACCGAAGAGGGAAAGAAGGTTGCACGGAACAAAGGCGACAAATTCGTGGCGCTATTCCGACGTCTGGAGGACCCTCCTTGGTGATGCAGCAATCTTGCATTGGAAGATGTAAAGGGTTGAAAGGGTTGAAAGTAGAATAAAAATACAGGCTTACATGGGGCACGGTACACGGCCTTTCCTGGGATGATGTCAATGGGCCGACAATGAATATGACGAGTAAAAAAGCACAACACAGACCATGCAACGCTCTTGTGCAAATACATCAGTGAAATCAATATATGAGCCCAGTCCTGAAAGCACTGCCACAATAATCAGGTCTTCCATGCGCAAGCATTCCTTTGGATCAGGCAACTGCTGGGGTGCTCCGGGCTGCGACTGCCCCTCCATTGGCGGCACTGACACATGCTTGGAGCGCCTGTTTAATTAATTCGACGCAACCCACTAGCCCACCTAATCAGTAAGGTCATGAACCACGCGCGCATTGACCCACCACAATGACCACACGTCCCCCTACCAAAGCAACGTTCTAAGGGTCTCCTGTTACCTGGCCTGTGACGCTAATCGCTACCTAAATCTACACCGTAGATGTGGTCTTGACGAGAGTGCAGCTTCATTGTTCAGGCAATAGGCGGCTCGCGCCCCGTGGACACTCTCTTCGACCCCGACGACGATGCGCCCGAGAAGCTCATACTGGCTATGGCCCTAAAGCGACGAGATGCGGCGCTCGCGGCTTTGGCCGCCTTCATTGCGTGGGGGTATGCTGTTAGCTGGCTTCCGGCTTTGCGTTGGGTTTGGTACGCATTTGTCGCAGGTCTTGTCGTCTCCGTCCTCGGTTTTCTAGCCCTCATCGGCCTCACCTCTCGCCTCCCGCCAGAGGCCAAGCCTCGACCCGATGGCGTCAAGTTCATGGGATCAAGCACCTGGCGCACCGAAGTTGATGGCCTGCGAGAACGGCAGCGGTACACAAAAGCCCCCCTGGACCTCGAAGCGCCCCTCGTGTCTAAAGCGGTCGACGACCTCCTCGAGTTAATAACGCGAGACTTTGTATGTAGCTGGTACTCGAACATTAGTCCCAATCCAGTGTTCCCGAACGAAGTAGATCGAGCCATCCGAATGGCATTGTTTGGCCTACGGGATTCGTTACGAAATAAAGACTTCGCCGAATTGATAACTAGTCGCATTGTCCCAATACTCACAGCACACTTCCGAGACTTCTATGATGCAGAGAAAGCTGTCCGAGGGCGCAAGCTCAACCGATCCGTTACAGAATCAGAGGAGCTCGATCTTGCGATTGCATCCAAGTTTCGAGAAGGACGGCTACACCCCGCTGCTTCGCTCTCCTTCCCCGACCTCAAGATGATCCAGCAGGACTATCTTCGAAATGTTGTTACAAATATTCTCCCCAAAGTCCTCCCACCTGAGATGCTCACGAGTAGAGCTGTGTCTGTCCTCATCCGGGAGATAGTAAGCTGTTCTGTGCTCTCGCCTGTTCTCCAGACGCTATCCGAGCCGGATACTTGGAACCAAATAATGGAAAACTTCGGTCGGTCGATGCTTCAAGACAGGTCCACTGTCCGAAAACTTAGAGCTGCTCTGGACCAGCACGCCGTGCCAAGCCCAAAATCGGGCAAGACAGCTATGTCGACACCTAGGATCATGCCAGGGGATAGTGAGCGCAAGTTCGAAAAGTTCATCCGAAGTATCCGGAAAGTCAACAATCTCTCAGACGCTCGACGCTTCCGAAGCGAAGTGGCTAGCCAGTTGAAGAGGGACTCGCAGGAAGAGACATCCGATCAAGTGTACTTGCGTCGACTTGAAATGGGAAAGCGGCTGTTAGATCAAAAAGTCCACCACTTTTCTACTGGAGGGGGAGATCGGATGCCCGCCACTCCGGCAACTCCTTTTGTCCCTGCTTCGACGTCTCGCCTTGAAGATGCATCTCTGGTGGAGCTTCTCCGGGACTCTTCAGCTATTTCCTACTTCATGGAGTACATGGATAGACAAGGGCTGATGTCCCTGGTTCAATTCTGGCTGGTTGTTGATGGTTTCCGGAATCCCTTGGAGGATGATGGTCAAGATGATGAACAATTGCCTTCTACACTCCCCATGTGGAAAGACTCCGATCGCCTGGATCTCCAGCAAATCAGCCAGGCTTATCTATCAAAATCGGAGCTGAAGGTGTCAGATGCCTCTAAAAAGGAGGTACGGGAGTTCCTTAAGGCGGGCAAAGCTGCGACACCTGCGCAATACTACAGAGCTCGGAGAGCAGTTCTCAAATCCCAGAGCACAGTTTTGGAAGAGATGAAGAATCGGTTCTTCCAAAGTTTCAAGAAGTCCGACTTATTTTACAAGTGTCTCGCCTCTCAAGAGGCGTCCAACCATAAAACTCTAACAACTCCTGTTCACCCACCAAATCCTAGAGCTTCCCAGTCCTTCCACTCCAAACCGAAACCAATCTCCCGTCTAGCTCCCCCGCCGAATGCGGGCGCGAGACGAACTGGGTCGGCCCAAGATCTCCGGGCTTTGCATGCGAGCGCATCTGGATCGGACCCTTCAAAGCCGGCTCGAAGATCCCTTGACGAGACCCCCCCTAGCACTCTACCTTTATTTGACGATGATGACTTGGAACATGATGAAATGATGGACTCGGTACAGAGCTTGGATCAAAATGGCCATGCTCAAAGTGCTCCTGACACGCAGGTGGTACAAGCTGTTGAGGCAGCTCTCACTAACATTATGGAGGACGATCGGCCACAGACGGCGGAAGATCTTCGAGCCTCCCTCTTTGGAGGATCGGAGGATCTCGGTTCCTCAAGTCTATTTTCGGGAAATGACAACGAGTCGCATCGTGGTTCAATCGATTCCGGAAGGCCATTGATATTCGCTAAGGATAGCAAAGATAGCAAAGAACCTGAGAAGCCAAGTCTTTCTTCTCTCGGTCTGGTCAGCCCAGCCTCACGTATCGGGGTTTTTGTCGACGATGACTTGTTTGGTGATGAGGACAAATACCTCTCCCATGAAGACGACGAGGACGATGATAAGAACCGGGCTGACGACGAAGACGAGGTTCATGAGGCAGCTCCTGGTGACCTCGGGTTGGCCGAAGCCATTGCCGCTCTCACAAACGATATCGACCGCTTGACAGCACAAGAAGCAGTTGTGGATTCCCTCACACGAAAGGCAGAATTGACCAACAATACCGCAGAGCTACGCATTTTGAAAAAGTCAAAGGCAAGCCTGCAGAGAGAAATTAGAAGAAAAGAGTTGCAGCGGCAGCAATATGTTGTCCAAGAAAGCGACAACAGTCTCTTTGGCCGGTCAATTATCAAGATCAAGAACATCCAGGTCGGAAGGGAGGACGATGGAAGGGAGTTCGCCCTTTATGTCGTTGAGGTGCAGCGGAATGCTGGCGAACAGATGCCGGCAGCTTCTTGGACTGTCACACGACGATACAGCGAATTTCACGAACTTCACCAGAAATTGCGGTCACGGTATCCGTCAGTGAGGAATCTTGATTTCCCACGGCGCCGTATGGTCATGAAGTTTCAGAGTGAGTTTCTACGAAAAAGACGACTTGCACTAGAGAAGTACTTGCACGAGATTCTGCTGCTTCCCGAGGTGTGCCGCAGTCGGGATTTACGAGCCTTCCTCTCACAGAGCGTCATTGCACCTGGACAAGACATGCTGGACAGGGAAGACAAGAAGGATATGATGACAAGGCTATACGATTCAGTTACAGACGGCATGGAGGATATTCTGGGCAACATCCCGGTGCTAGACCAAATCTCGGTCGCCGGGCAAAACCTTATTGCCGCTGCAACCAGCCAGCTAAACGCTACGCCGCTAAATGGGAACGAAGAGAACTTCCCCGCAGCGGAAGCTGAAGCAGAACTGAATGCGTTTGAAAATAAAGAGCTCGAGCCGTTCATCAAGCCCATTTGTGATATTTTCCTGGAGGTCTTTGAGTTGAATAAGGGCAACAATTGGCTACGAGGGAGAGCGGCTGTCGTGGTGCTCCAGCAACTACTGGGTGGAACCATTGAGCGCAAGGTACGGGACATTGTTAAGATGTCAGTCCAAGAGGAGAATCTCTTGAAATATATCGGCACACTCCAGGGCAATTTGTGGCCAGGAGGAGAGCTCAATCGGAATCGAAAGCCTAGAACCTCGGCTGAAAAGAAGAAGACGAGAACGGAAGCCAGCCTAATGTTGGCGACTCTTGTGCCTGATCTGGCCGGGAGCGTGGTTGGTAGAGCCAATGCCCAAGTTGCGAGCCGTCGCATTTTCGCCACCTTTAACAACCCCAGACTCAAGTGCGTTTGTTTCCCCGCCCCATCTCTACACGCTCCTTCAGACAATTTACTAACTACATTGCCAGCGCACATTTAATATTCACATTGTTGGATGAAATAATCTCGATCCTTTTCGAGGAATCATAGATGGCCAATGGAGAATGGCCGAACCACGGAGTTTGGAGTCTATTATGAGATACCGCGACGGCAAAGAAGCGACTGTAGATAACGGATAAGGAGTGAATGATGCTTCTGCAAGTTCGGGAACCCCGGAATGTAATGACTATATACACACTGCCAGTACGACCTAATAATAACACGGTTACGCCCATCAATTAGCAGCAGTATATCCAAGCGAGGGGCTGCCTCCGGGTGATGTGATTCGTCGCCAGAAAAGGATGGATGGCGCAGGGGGAAATCTTGTTCCCACGTCGCCAGGGAAGAATCGGAAGCAGCTCAGAGGCAGCTGTGATTGGGGGAGGGGCTGAAATGCAATACTACGTAGGAGGTACGCAAGCGGTGACATTGAAATTGAGACACTCAAACATTGAGCTGCTTATTTTCAAGCCTGCGAGCAGTATTATCAGATTATTGAGTACTAATAACATATACTTGAGATAATACAGTATATGCTGTCACTGGATGTCATTTTATACTACTGATTTACTGATTTCTCTTGGAAAGTAGAACCACTCTTCCGTTGGGTGTCATGGTGTCTCATATCTCCTGCCACCCACTTGGTACGTAACACACCAAGTGCTGCACGTTGCTGCAGGCGGTGGTTGATGTGGAATGCGGAGGTGGAGGTGGAGGTGAGGGGAGGCGGAGAGTGTTGCGTTCGCCTGGCCCTCTCTGCCGGTAGCTGTAGGTAAGACATATCCCCTCGTCGTCCCATCCATGCCATGCGAGGTGATCTGATATTACTGCTCTCGTGTCCACGCACATGTACAAAGGCATCACTGGGCGGCAGGAGGTCCGGGGAACCTGGCAGCCAGCTTTGCCTGATTCGGGCAGGCGCTCCGCTTCGACAAGCGCCCAAGCCCCCAGCCAGCTCCTCACAGGTGCGCTGAACCACCGAGCGGGTTCCCATTGCAGCAGCGTGCATGAGTGCGGGCCCCAGTCATGTGACTATTGCGTACCTGCCAATTAGGTGTGCGACACTAGTCCCCGTTGGTGGGCGCCATCAGCACCCACCCGCCCCAAGAAAGAAAGAATCAGAAGCAGCTCAAACCGAGTCTCCTCTCCCACAACGCCACTCCACCATCAGCAGATTGCTACATAGTATATCATCCCAGCCTGACGACGAGCGCTCGTCCCCCGTGTTGTGTCCTCCCTCTGTGCCCGGCTCCCAGGATTCCCCGAGACAGTTTACTAGGTTTTTTTTCTGGTTTGGATCTCTTACAACTCAACTTTCCTGGCTGGCACTACCATACCCAACGGCAACATGACCGAGGTCTCGGCTACCCGCCTCTACTTGGGCAACCTCCCTCGCACAGGTCCATCCACCTTACCGTTGCGTCGCAATCGCTTCCCCCAACTGACGCGATGAGGAACAGCTACCAAGGCCGATATCGAGGCCCACTTTGCGACCCATGGCACCGGTGAGATCACGGAGGTGAAGCTGATGAACGGCTTTGGCTTCATCGAGTACAAGGATCCCATGGATGCCCGCGATGTCGTTCCCGGTTCGTCAGAGCATTCTAGCCCCCCGATTTACTATGCGCAGATGGACTAACTCGTCGCTCGTTTCTGGTAGCCTTCCGTATGTGATACCCGAACCGCTCGCCGCTTCCTCTTCTGCCCAAGGCTAACCTGCGACACACCCAGATGGATCCGACTTCATGGGAGAACGACTTACAGTGCAGTTTGCCCGTGGGAGCCGACAGCGGGAGGGGGGCTATGGCCCTCACGAGCGCGCCCCTCCGCGTCCGCGACGAACTCCCCATCGCATGCAAATCACAAATCTCCCTCAGGACACCAGCTGGCAGGTCTGTTTCCCTCCTCTTCTTTCCCTTTGCCGGACACCATGGATTCCACTCCTCCCCTACTTTCCGAGCGGGTCTTTGGGCTTTCTGAGAGACAGAATTACGGGTTCCATCGTTGGATGATGTTCTTGCGCCCCCGACGAGGCCATGGTTTGGCGTTTCCCCAGTTTGCGCGTTTGGGCGGGACGGACGACGATGGAGTCGCTTTAACCACCTGTGTTTGGCCTGTTTTCGGTTCCTACTCTCTGGTATCTCCTGATTTGACAGGGGATCTTGTCGATAACGTGGACTTCCTTTGGCTCCTTCTTTGTAACCTCTCCCTGGACATGGACTTACTTGGATACTGGACACAGGATCTCAAAGATTTTGCTCGCCAGTCGAGCCTTGACGTGGTGTATTCCGAAACGGGACGCGACTCTAATGGACGAGGGTAAGGCTATTTATTGGAAACACAAATGATGTTTCCGGCGGAATCTTGAGCTGACTGACGTCAACATAGCTTTGTCGAGTTTGAATCTGCCGCGGACCTAAGGACCGCCGTGGAAAAATTGGATGGCCGTGAATTCAAAGGCAGCCGCGTCCAATGCGTTGCTGATGTAAGTTTCAGTCCGGCCTGGTTCTCGTTCGGTCATTGATGCTAACTCGGTACCCATCAGACTCAGCCGGACATTCCTGCTTCTCGTGGTAGGTCCCGATCTCCCGGGCCTGGACGTCGCCCGTACCCTCCTCCAACGGACGACTATGACCGGCGCCAGCCTCCCCGAGGCTACAGTCCTCGCCGCGATGCGCCTTATGGATACCGTGATCGCAGCCCTCGACGTGATTACTACGACGACCGTGGACCACGCGGCTACCGTTCCCCTCCACGACGACCAGAAGGGGGCGACTACCCCCCTCGTGGACGATATGATGATCCCTACAGGAGGGATTATGCGCCGCCCCCGGACCCCTATACCAATGGTCGGCCCTATGAGCGGGCACCAAGAGACTATCCTCCACCAAGGGATGCTCCATATCCTCGTGAAGGTTATCCGCCTCGCGAGTATGAGCGTGGAGGGCGCTACTGGTAAATTCTTTTCCTCATCTTTACCCATCTTCATCCTCATCACGTCCACCACATTCCTATTCCATCTTCGTGTGCCACATGAGTGAACCCGTCCTTGACCGGGGGTTTAATAGATTGGTACTATCCTCGGACACGTTGCAAATGAAACCGACAATGTCACCGACGGTAAACTGCAATCAAGCTATGGAGATGGCTTCAGCTTGATACGACGCTTGCAGAATATGTGTATGGTATGGACACCAGGAGTGTTGTACTTTGCTTATCAGGACGAATTTGATGTTATTATGGGGATGGGGACGTATTACTAGTTCCTTCCGACTCTTCGCTAACGATTTGGAACGCTGCTACGGTATGGGATGGTACGGTATGATACGGGAGGCTGTGACAATGGCAAAATGGATTATTATGCTGGGTGGAATGTTGCGAAACGATCGTTATTGTCATGACTACTCGGTCTCGCGCGGGTGATCTTGAGCTGGTCTATCTGTGTCTATACTTTGTTTGACTTTTTCTTTCTGTTTTTCTTATTCCCTTCACTGGTAGTTGACTGTTCTTTTCAATTCAAATGTCAATTCATATGTCAAAAAATGCTCATTTCTAACGTAAAAGGAAATGAATATAAAGTGAGGGCAAACGGAAACCTAAAAAGTACACAGGTGGGCTTCTTTTCTACATCCAAAGGAGGATAAAATAAGGGACTCGGGAGCAGTAACGAGGTGAGCGATAATGAACAAATATATAGCGATTGAAATATCAAAGGGAATCATAACAGCTCATGGAACGCAAGTGACGTAGGTAGTAGATTTCGTTCGCATCAGATCTTTCCAGCGCGGGTTTCGGGCGCCGTGTCTTCCCTTCTTTTTGATAATGTATGTTTGATGGATCCTTGTCCCTGCGCTTGTCACACAGGTTTCGAGCCCAGGCAGAATGGGTATTTTTTAAGCAGTCTTCTTCCACTGTGTGTAGATGCCGATCAAACTGCTCAGGGTACCGGCGAGACCGACGACGCCGTCGTCGAGGTCGACCCAGCCGAGACCGGTAGTTGGGATGGTCAGGTCGGCCAGATCGGAGACGAGTTGCAGCCTGCTGGCGGCGCGCTCACTGTGTACATTGTTAGCGGAGTGATCAAACCGATGAGTCAAAAGATGGATATCTCGTCCGTCCGGAACTGGAGGTATACATACAGTGCAATGCGCTTGCTCTCGACGACGCCCTCGCCGTCCTTCTTGTCGACCTTGGCCTCGCGCTGGTTCAGCCTGTACTGCGTGTACAGCTGGCCCGCGATGCTGAAGAGGATGCCGAACGCCCAGCACCTGTAGGCGTTGGTCTGCGCGCGCTTGGCGCCCTCCCACTTCCTGATGGCGGCGGCGTCGAGGACCGTGGCGGCGTCGAAGCTGAGGTACCCCGCGTATCCGAGCTGGCGGCCCACGGAGGTGTAGCGCAGGAAGGGGTCGGCCACTTTCGCGTCGGCGGCGGTGGCGGCGGCCTTGAGGTGCTCGACGTTCTTGCCGATGCGGAAGAACTTGCGCATGAGGCCGAGCTGCTTCTTGGTCTGCGTCCAGGGGGCGACGGCGGAGGCGACGGCGTTGGTGCGGAGGAGGTACCAGGCGTAGAAGCGGGCGAAGTACTGGACGGTGCGGAGGAGCTTGTCGCGGCCGACGGTGGTGGCGACGAACTTGAGGTAATGGGCCACCGAGGGGTGGTAGATGACGGCGTCGGCGACCATTGTGACGGGTGTCGAAATGCGAGGCGGAGGGAGAGTGAGGAGATTGAAGGAGAGGCTGATTCTGGTCGGCGGGAAGGAACCCAAGGGTATAAAAAACGGAGAATAAAAGTGAGGGAGCGTGAGATCTGGGGAAGGAAAAAGGAGATGATGTCGTCGTGCGCTTGTGGCGTGTGTGGTGTTATACGTACGACACCGAGAGAGATGAGACAGGGAATATGGACCAGGGACGGCGATGGAAGGTGAAGTGGGAGCCGAGGTCCCTTTTCCCCACACTCGCAGCGCAAGCCGGGGAAGGATGTGGTATGGCGAGCGCAGCGCTGGCCAATGGCGCACGCTGGGCCGAGTCTGGCACACGCAGCAGCTAACGCAGATGGAGCAAAGACAACCGACGGATGGGCTCGTTGTCGGACCACACACCTGGCTGGCAATTTTCCAGGCCGTCTCGATGAGGAAATAAAAACGCCAAGTGGTTCCAGTGCTTGTGCGTTGCTCGCTTGCTTTTGCTTGCATGCCCCTGGCACAGCACCTAAGGTTTACGATTATATGCCGCCCACCTGATAGGCTGAGCTGGCCTGGTCATGAAGTGAGAGGTATTCCGAATTCCGGAGTTTCCGCCGGAGAGTCGGTCGCTAGGCTTGGGCATTTCGAGGTCGACAGAACCCCGGAACACCTAGCAGCGTCTCTCTATCATACAAAATAGTGCAGTGCCCATTTCTAGGATGTCCGTGTGTGTGGAAGTGGGCGCAGGTGTGTGCGAGGTCCATTTTCACATTCTTTCATTCCGTCATTGCCTTCCAGCAGCCGTCGGTCGCTCCTTCCCCAGAGTTGCACGTGAGAGTGGGCACCTCTGGGGACCGAGTCAAGAGATAGAATTAATTTAAAGGGGAGATGAGGCCCAGCAGCTTCACAAGCCACAGACAACCTGATCAGCCACAGCGTCGGGAGAGAGGAAAGTCTCGACGAGGCTTGTGGCAGGCTAACCCCCACGGACTGGCAGAAGGGGCATGAAGAGTCCCATCGGGAAATCTCACAATGCATCTCGCTATTCTCGCTATGTAATAGCCGAGGAGTGTGGACCCGGCCGGACTCCCATGATCAACGCCGTCCGTTTATCGCCTGCCGGTCGCAGCCGTTGACCCGGGAAATCTTCTTGGAGCTTGCGCAGATTGGCGCAGATAGGGCACACGATGGCGGAGGATAAAGCGTCGGAGCAATCTGCTGGTTGGTCCAGAGCGCTGCACTAGGTCCCGGCCGTGCTGTTGTGCACTGCACAGCGAGAATCGTCATGGGCCATAGCCGATGGAGCTCGGTCGAGGCCCCGAGGATTGCGGGCGGACTGGAGGAACGTCATGATATAGAAAAGAGGCACTCCCGGCGGCGTTTCGCATATTCGTTCTTGTTCTCTTTCGCTTTCTCTCCCTCTCCTTTCCCCTCCTGCTCCTACTCGCTCTGCCCTGTACTCGTGACACCTAAATACACCTGCTTTCAGTACGGCGAGAGACAATCCCGCAGATAAAGAAAGAGCTTGACTGTCAGGTGACCATCTCCGTGGTGAATAGCTCCAATACCTGTTACTAAGGCCCCCAAGCTGAGGTTAGTGTCCCCGCGTGCCCCTCCCCCTCCCCCTCAGACGTAATACCAACCCAATCAATTAATGCATGGCCGGCTTTCGACCGAAGCCAGCCGAAGCACGGGAAGAAATGCGTTCTCGTTGTCTTCGCGATCGGCTTACTACCTTTCTCCAAATTCAATTTCCTCCTTAGAGCGCTCGAGTTGACCGATCTTGACGCAGACCGTTCATACACATATTCATTCTTCATCATGGAGCACAACGGCAACGGCGATGACTCGCTGAAAGTCAACACCAACATCATCACGCTTACCCGTTTCCTTACTGAGGAGCAAGCAAAGCACAAGGAGGCCACTGGAGATTTCACGTACGTATCGCTCCCCTCCCGTCCTGCCAGACGGTCCGGCCGGATGGAGCTGACAGATTGAGACATGCAGCCTACTCTTCCACGCCCTCCAGTTCTCTTTTAAGAGCATCGCCTACTACATCCGTCGTGCCACGCTGGTAAACCTCACCGGTCTGGCTGGTTCCTCTAACACCACCGGCGACGAACAAAAGAAGCTCGACGTCATCTCCAATGACCTCTTCATTGAGGCCATGCGCTCCTCGGGCAAGTGTGCCCTGCTCGTCTCTGAGGAGGAGGAGGAGATCATCTTCTTCAACGACTCCCACGGAGCTCGCTACGCTGTCTCCTGCGACCCCATTGACGGTTCTTCCAACCTCGATGCTGGTGTCTCAGTAGGCACCATCTTCGCCATTCACAAGCTCCCCGACGGTTCCAATGGCACCAAGGAGGATATCCTCAAGCCCGGTACCGAACTGCTCGCCGCCGGTTTCACCATGTACGGTGCCTCTTCCCAGCTCGTCATCACCATGAAGGGCGGCACCGTCAACGGCTTCACCCTCGACACCGGCGTCGGCGAGTTTATCCTCACCCACCCCAACATGCGCCTCCCCAAGTCCCGCGCCATCTACTCCGTCAACGAGGGTAACTCGCTGTACTGGGACGAGCGCACCATCAACTACTTCAACTCCCTCAAGCAGTCCCAGGCCAACGGCAAGCCCTACAGCTCCCGTTACATCGGTTCCATGGTGGCTGACGCCTACCGAACTCTACTCTACGGAGGTATCTTTGCCTACCCTGCCGACAAGAAGAGCCCCAAGGGCAAGCTCCGAATCCTGTACGAATGTGCCCCCATGGCACTGGTCTTCGAGAATGGTAAGTTTCCCCGGCAGCTACCCTGCTGGCCTCCCCCAAGCTCTCAAGGGAAGGCCAGACTGCTATTCATTGTGCAATCAATCGCTAACACACTTTTTCTAAATAGCTGGTGGCCAGGCCGTGGATAACAATATGAAGAGAATGCTGGAGATTGCCCCAGAGCACATCCACGACCGTTCTGGTATCTTCCTTGGTAGCTGGGACGAGATTGAGAAGGTGAAGACATTCTTCAAATAAGCATGTATATATATGTCTATTTAAAGCGAACATAGGGAGCAAGGGAAAATAAATCAAATAGTAAAATGAATTTATCCGCTTGAGTAATCAATTTTGTCTTCATGGTGGTTCGCTAATAAATCCATTGCAACCCTCCATACAGTTGTCTTCGGAACTTAGCTTGTTGAGGCTCTAACACAATACCTACCTACCTAAACTACCTAAGGTACCTACCTAAGAATAGCAAATAGATAAGAGAGTCATGAATCACAGCCAGTTCTGCCTAGAGCTAATTGTTCAGTCTTGGTTGGAACAATAACCCCTCTCAGCGCACGGCACAATACACATGTTTGTGGAAGGAGCTGCCAATCGCTATTGTTTCTATCCGAAAAACTCGTCTGATGGCCATAGCTATTCAATTCCCTAGCTCCCTCTCCGTGCATGATTCAATCACGATGCCAGTGATTCACCAAACCCATCCAATCGAGAAGGAGCCGCCATGAACTATAAATTGGCCACTTCTCTTCCATCTTCACATTTTTACCTTCATCAAATTCATCTTTGGCTCCTCTTCCCAAGCGATAAAGAGACCTTTCGAATAGCGTCTAAATCAGCATACTTAGAGCCGCCAGCATAATGGATTGCGACCATCTCCAGGACTTCGTCGTCCCTGAAAGTGTAAGTGACGATCTGCCTCCACGCCTACATATCATCCTCGGGTTCCAGAGCTGACGATATGCACACAAATTGTAGATCCGATTCAAGGATTGGGCCGACCACTCATCGACGCTCCTCCTCTTCCCCGTCGAGATCCTCCTCGGAGTGTTCCCCCACCTCGACAGAACCGATGCGGTCTGCCTGGCACTCTCCTGCAGGCGGCTTCTCCAAGTATCCTCCCTCGCCCACCTCAAGGTCCCTTCGGCAAGCCACCATCGCGCCAACAAGATCCCTGGGTGCGGCGAGGCTATGAAGTTGCTCAACCGGGTCGAGGCCCCCGGGGCGGACTGGCGGCTCTGCATGGACTGCCTGCGCTGGCGGTTCAAGGACAGCAGCGGTGAGGATGACACTCCGATCAATGATCGCTGTGTCCAGGCTTGGAGGGTCTCCGGTTCAGGCTGTCTCGATTGCGCTGCGAAGATGGAGGACACACCGATGTCAAACGCCGAGTAAGGGGGGATGCGACGTTGCCCGCCAGTTGCCAAGCGAGTTTTTACTATGCCAAACGCCGAGGCTCCCTTGTTTCTACAGCGGATTCTACATCTAAAAGTCAGACGCTTGTTTCAAGATCGGAGAACATGTTTAGGAAGACGGTGCTTTCATGGGATAGATGCGAGCAGGACTCGGTCTCGGCCTCAATCAAGACTTCCCGGTCGAGACTCTCGGAGATTTTGCCATCGCCATGCTGGAGAAGGGTCCTAGCAAAGAGTTATGTGCGCGAGCAGCGATAGGAAATGGCAGTGATTTGTTTATTTGACTGCCGCGAGGAGGATTGCCGCAGTGAAACAGCGACTCGCCGGCGGGAACCTGTGAACACAGTTTGGCTGTTCCATATGAGATTCTCATTACATGACAGACAATTGACTGATGACTTGTCTCTTGCACACGAATCAAGGTCTCACAAATGCTAAAGACGATGATGAAGCAAACCCAAACAAACATCAGCAAGAAAACAAAAGACATCCTTGGCTGGATCTACAGCACTCCTTCTTACTGTGTGGCTCTCCAGCATGTTGATCAGCGGCCTTTGAGATCACACACCGGGAGTACGTCCATACAAGCAAAGCAAGCCAGGATCGTTGGGTGGCGATAACGGCACGGCAATCCCAATTTCGGTACCTGCATGAAAGCCCGCCATCCCTTTCCACAAACCGACGGCGATCTCGTGTTTCCTGGTTGATACGTTTTTTTATCTCGCTCTCATCCTTTTCTCCCATTCCCGAATAGGCACCGCCCCTGCTCGTCTCGTCCCATCCAGGCCATCGCCCAAGCTCCTTTGGGGCATCATGCTTGTTAAGGGCCAGGGGGAGGACTGATAACGGAGCAGCCTTTACGAGGACTGGGGGTCGTCTCCACACCCTCTTTCTCGGTCCCTCGTCTCCACCGGCCGATCGATTTCGCGTTGCTTTTTTCCCTTTCTTGCGTCTCTGGTGCAGGAATCCAGGTACTAGCGCGAGGGACGGACCCAGGTGGCGAAACAAAGAAGGTTTGGCAGGAGGGAAAACGTGCCTGGCGATCGGGATCTTCCAAAGATGCAGCCATTCTAGCCAGGAGGGACACGAGTTTCCCTTGATGAGAAGCAGAGGACGCTCGTGCCCGAGGAAGAAGAATCCTGCTAGCTGGAAGTAGACGGGCCAAGGCTCTGCTAGAGACGGTCCTCGTGGTAAGACTGACATATGGCTTGGCGTGGCTTGGCCTTCCCCAGTTGTGGGAAATGAGCATTTCGTATCCCCCATTCCACTGTGCCGGGAGGATGGAGAACAGTCTGTCATAGACTCACTCATAGGGGAAAAGCCGCAGTTTCGAAGTGAACACATTTAAACTAGTTGGTCGCGTCATAGAAGAATAGATACGAGAAGGTCCAGTTATATGGGTAAAGGAGTGTAACCCGTGTTTGTTTATTCATTTCCCTCTATAGTGTGTGTTCCTCCACAATATCGTTCTACCTAAAAAAATGAGCCAAAGATTCGCTATGAGGCTTCGAAAATGATCATCTAGAACCAGAGCAAGGTATGTCAGAGGCAGTTTATGCCCTTCTCACCGCTCGCAGGCGGGGGATCTAATTGCGTTAAAAAGAGATGACAAAAACGTCCAATCTCGCAAGTGTAAAAAATCAAAAATAACATGAGCCATATACAACCAGGTCATTGCGGCGCCCCGAGAACCCATAAAACAAGAATGTGACAATTGCCCTCTTTCTCTCCAATGCTCGTATCCTCGTGGTCTATCAGAAGAAGGCAGAGAATACCGCATTCGAGAGAGACCGTTCCTCATCGAAAGTCAATGACGTTCCCATTCTTCTTGTCTGCTCGATTATCAAAGGTGAGATAAAGGAGCCAGAAAATGAAAACAGTAATCGTCTTTCGATTTGTGCATGTAATTAAAAGTCATATCTTCCGAGAAGCTTCCATGTGATGTGCCAGCAAGCTTAAAGGAATCCAAATAAAAATATAGCCAGAATTGAATTGAATTGACAAGTATGTAAATTGTTCCTTCCTGGGGTCCGGACTGCTTACAGCAGCTGGAAGGCGATACCAACGGCAGCGGCGATGGTGAGGCCGACGAAAGAAACGACACCCTGGGCGGCGGCACTGGGGGTGGTTGAGGGGGCCGAGGAAGAGCCAGAGGTTTGGCTAGCCTGGGATCCGGAGGTAGAGCTGGAGCCGGAGCCTTGAGAGCCAGAGGCGCTAGGGGTAGCAGCTGTAGTTCCTTGGTTAGCGGAGCCAGTAGTGGTGATGGTTTTGATGGTAGTGGAGCCAGAGTCAACGATGGTGGAGGTCAGGGTAGAGGTCACGGGCGAGGATGTTGTGTCAGAGGTCTTGGTGGTTTTCTCACTGGTTCCAGAGGAGGCACCGGATGATGATGCCGATGAAGATCCCGAGGTCTTGCTAGAGTCCGATGAAAGGGTGGAGGTGGAGAACTCAATGCTGGTCCTGGTCTGGATCTCCTGGGTCTTGGTGATGGTAGCGGAGGTCTTCAGCTTGTCGTCGTCGGCGCCGTCACCCTTGACGACCTTGATGCTCTCCCATGAGCCGGTCTTGTCGCCATAGACGTACTCCTTGATGCTGTCCTTGGTAGGGGCATCGCCGCCAGCATAGTCGATGATGGAGATGCTCTTGTAGTAGGCGTCGAAGGGGCCCTTGCTAAAGTCAGTGCGGCCACCAGCCCACTCAACGGTGCCTTCAGGAGAGTCCTTGCCACCAGCAACCCAGGTACCGATCTTGACCTCGAAGGGAGTCTGGGGGAAACGAGATCCACCCTTGGCCTGATCAGGGAGCAGTCGGCGGACCTCAGTACCGTCAATGGACCAGGCGATGAACTTGGAAGTCGCTTCGATGGTGTAGGTGTGGAAGGTCTTGCTGGGGGTGGCAACGTTGTGAAGAGCAACGCGGTCGTAGGTGGTGGTGTCGCCCTTGCCGAAGTAGTTGGACTGGACATGGTAGTCGTCGGCACCGAGCCACTCCCAGTCGACCTCGTCGAGGTCAGCAGACTCGAGAACGACCGAGGTCACGATGCCAATGCCAGGAGCGGACTTGAGCTCAACATCGACACGACCGAAGAAGATGCGCTTCTGAGTAGCGAATGTTGGGCCCTCGCCCTCCTTGCTGATGCGGAAACGGGCGCCATCACTCTCGTATGAGACCGAAGTACCTGGCAGGGAGGTGAAGATCTTGCACTCGGACTTGAAGTCGCAGATACCGGAGTCCTTGCCGAAGGCAGCCTCGGCAGGGCAGGCTAGATTTTAGATGTTAGCAAACACTACCGCACCCATTGGGCAGGTTAGCAGGTGAACATACTCTTCTCCAACGGGTTGCAGTCAGTGAAGGTCTGGGCAGACACCAGGTTGGCAGCAGCAACGGCTACAACAGCCTTAACGAAAGTATTGGTGAACATGGTGACTGATGTGCGGTTCGAGGTCTTGATTACCAAGTTCGAAATGTGCTGGAGGAGGATGAGGTGGGAGTGAGATAGAAACAACCGCGGGGAGGACTAGGAAGAGGTGCTTAATATATCAGTCCTTCAGATGGACTGGTGGACCAGCGGGGGCAGGGCAGGGCGGACAAGGCAAGCAGAAGCTACCAGGGACCAGGAGACCGCGGGCTCCAGATCTAAGAGGAGCCAGGGTCATTGAGGTACCTCAGGTAAAACTGGACAACAACAAAGAAGGAAAAGAAAACGGAGCCACAGACACGAGGAGCCACCCTCGTAGCTAGCGAGTGGCCCGGGCCAGGAGAGGAGTGAGCGAGCGGACAGTGAAGAACGATAGTGGCCCGCGTGGCGCTGGATGGTGAACAGCTGAGGCCCACAGGGGGGTGTGGGTGTGTAGTAAGCGGAGGAGTGCGGTGTGGAGCCCTGCACAGCCGTCATCCCAATTGTTTGATTGTGCTCTGCATCGCCCAGACCACTGTGCAGGAACCCAGGGCCGTCACGCAGTTCCTGGGCGACTGTGCTCACATGCACGACGGTGCTGCGATGCTGATGCTGGCCTGATTGACGACTCGGCTGCTGGGGACCCAGCTTCCCCCGCTGCCGTAATCGTAGGACCTTCCACATTGCTCTCGTTACTACGTCGCAGTCGCAGAAGGAGCCCTCAGCACCTGGTCAGTGGTACCTGCCTCCCTCCAGTTCCTGATGGCCGCACCGATTGTCTTTGGCAGGGTCCTAGATCGTCTGCCGCCGAGACAAGGCACTGCCTCCTCCGCTGTTCTTTTTTGAGTCACATTGTTCCCCAAAGCGGTATGCCTTCTCTCGTCGCCAAAGGCCTCCGCTCCAGCCGGCCGTTGTGAGAACCCGTTTCAACGAGCGCAGAGGCGCTTTCCATCGTCGCCCACGCCGTCAAGGTTTCCGTTGCGAGCTCCGTTGCCTCGGGCACTCACTATCGCCTTCAGCAATCCCCGTCCGCCAATTGATCTACTTTCGTATCCAGGCATTGCGATGACCGTATCGCGCAAGCAACAAGTCCCTGCTCTCCACTTAGTTTGGTCGGATGATGTCGCCGCCTTTACGGCACCGTGCCCAATGCTAGACCGAGCGAAGGGGGAAACCGGCAATGCCCTGGTCCATCTAGCGCACATGCCCGACCAGAGGCCCCTCCAACGGCAAACGCTCAGACTCTAAAAGACGGGCATGATGGCTCGCGATACGGATGTCAGCGTTGACCGCATCTGGATCACAAGGATTGAAGGCTCAAACAGCCCCAGGTTTGAGGAACAGAAATATCAAGCCCCTCGGTGAGAAATAGGATCTTCAAGCATGCTGTACAAGCACCAAAAGGACCCAGCTTGTGCACAGTATGCGACCACATCCGTGCAACCACGGTGCATGCAGACCTGGGGTATGAGATGGACGTCGTCGATCACCGAAGACCCTCTCGGGCGTGTGCATGTGTGCACCACCGCCGGATCACTTGCCCAAGCAGACGCTGAAGTGCATTTCGTGAAACAGCGAATTGGCTGATCAGCATAGCTAGAGACCACTGTTCGCAGCACTGTCTGCCGATGCCTATTTCCCTCCCGCCTGATGGAATCGAATTTTTTTTATCTCAGCCTTTTTTTTCCTTCAGTCAACTGACAAATACGAGCTCCAAGAGCCCATCCAAGTTGGTCATGACTGACTGGCTAGCCTTGAGGCATGTCTGGATTAGATCAAGCGGAGCTAATACCAGCACCTGACAGACAATATTCGTATTTTCTTCCCTTCGCCTTAGCCTTGTGGGCGCACGACCACCAAAATAGCCACTATCGAGTGCGTGGTTAGCTAGGCTAGCTGCTTATCACGTCCAGGCACCGAGGCAAGCCTTCTTACAGCGCACGAATCAGACAACCTCACGCCCCCTCCCTGTCTAGCTCCGTCGCTATCTCTCCACCCTCCCACCAATATATCAAACGCTTGGCCCCAAAGAGCCTAATCAGGACCTCGGGCCCTTGCTGCCCCTCCGTTATCAGGACGTCATTTCCCTCTCTGCCTCTTCATCCTTCTCGAGTCCATGTCGATGCGTCGCCTGCATGACATTGACTTCCACCTACCCTTCAGACAGACACAATGGAGACGAAAAGCAACCAAAGGCGGTCTACAGGCAGGCCAAGCAAGCCAAGCAAAGCCAAGGGACGCATACGAGCGCCTCTAGCTTAGGAGGAAAGGAAGCGTGTGATACATGCCTACTTGAATGTCACAGGCCCATAACTCTAGAACCCGCGGGGAATGGCGGGCGCCCGTCCCTTTTTTCTCTCCGCCATCCACTTGTGCCTGAATTAAACCCGAATCATCAATTGCTCGCATATTAGGAACTACTTCATTGGCACTATATCTTAGGTACTGTAAAGGGATATCGTTAAGTGAGCCAGGTGTGGCATCAAATTACTCCTCTCAACCGGATAACTTACTATGTACCTCGTTCCGCATTTCTATAGCGCATATCCCAGTGGGCTACGATAGGATCAACCGTCGAGGCAAGGTGTTATTGTTAGCCCCAAGCCTTGGCGGCTGGGCGGGCATACCTACGTAATAACGGAGTACGAACTGGAATGCTCCAATCCGTTTTCTACCCCCTTTAGGAACAACAAGTCGAATGACAATCCCAAACAGCATGCTACTAGCAACCCCGTATTCTATTCGTAAGTTCTTTGCTAACAATACACAGAACTTCCTCATCCAGAGTGTTGAACAGGGACCATCCGAATGCCTGCAATCAACCAGGTACGGGAATAGGGCAGCGTTGCCCCAGCATCACCAAACCCTTGCCTCCACACACACCCAGATACGCTCACTGGGGACATGGCCATGGACCCTTGCTGGCCATCTGACTTTGTAATACGAACCGAACAACCAGCCGCCTATGAGTGTATCCTCCACGTGCCTTCCCACGAAACGTTGCACACCGAGTCGTCTCGCCTCCAAGCTGTTACCTCAAGCCACTTTTCGCCAAAGGTCTTCGCGGTCATGCATGTTGGGGGTGCACAGCGTCGCCAGTTATAGGGCTGCATTTCATCGTCTCCTCATTCAGGTAGAACACGTCACCAAGAAAACGCCTTGTTCTCACGCACCTTCAGATCTCGCGTCTCCGCTTACGCAGCTTGAATCAATACATATCCTATACTAGTAAGAGCAAGGCGGCTTGCTGACGCGACTTTCGGGATACGGAAAGCATCTTTGTCAGCTATGAACAAAATGTTCTTTCATAGTCTGGTCTCTATGAGAATGGCTCGTCTCAGCTTGGCTCGAATTAAAGAGCCCAAAAAAAGGATGCAGCGATCAAGATGATACATAACTCAGCCCGCCAGCTCCTCGTATAGCATTTGGCTCCCCTGCGCGTAAAAGAGCAGGCGGATCAAACAACCTTCCCTCTTCAACGGCAGTCGAAACCAGATCCACCCATCCTCCCGTCAAGAAACGAAGAAAACAATCATATATTTAAAACCTGCCATATCTGACGTACTGGGATACTCTGTGGGTATCGTCCTGGCTCGCAGCGGGTCTTTTTGCGGTTTGTTATTTTTATTCACAGCGAGCGTTTCCTTCCTTATTCGATTTCTCGGCCACTTTCATAGGCGCAAATAGCAGCAACGGAGATATTGTGAAGGAGCGTCGCATGCATATCGCAGACGCATTTGTGAGCCCGGTTAGAGTATCAGTGTGCAACGCCATGACAGAGTATTTGCAGCCGCATCTCTCAACGCCGATTCATGACAATGGAGTCGTCTCTTTTGGGGTGTTTTCAGCCCGGTGTTTGCAATATCAAAAACAATAGTCTCAGCCACATCCCACCCAGGCCAGTCTTAGACTGACCCTCATCTCAAGGCTGAGCTTGCACTAGCATTTACAAGCCGGCGCCAACCAGCAACAGAGCTGTAACACGGTACGTAGTATGTGCCCTTCTCATCAGTTGAATGCCTGTCACCGACCAAGGCACCAATGTGTGACAGTCTGGCACAAACATCGATTCACAGGCTTTGAGCAACCAATCCCCAAAGTGCTGTATGGCAAGCATATCCATCCTACAGTTTCCTGCCACCTAAACCACCAATCACAAGCACCTGAAACCTGAAATTGCTCTGCCATTCCTAAGGTAGGTCTCACTAGCCGCCGCCGGCCTCTCTCCTCCGCGGTCTCAAGCCACATTCAAAAGAAAGTTCAGGGTGTAGGAAATACTCTATGCTTCGCACCCCTTACAGAGGGCAAAGATGCTTGGACACTAGCGGTGCCGCGTTTTTTTTTTTTTTTTTCTTAGCCAGGTTTAACTTGAGCCACAAAGCCATAGTTCCCACGGCACATGCAGCTAACGAGCAAACAAGCGGGCTTCCCTAAGCAGCCACGGCGACCGGAAGATTTAAGCGTTATGGTTTGCTTTTTTTACCCCTTTTCTGAACGGCTATTTGACCCGTCCTCGGACAACTCCGGCGCCGTTTTGCGATGAGGCTGAAGAGTGACCGCCGGTCGTGATTAGGCTAGGCTTTCCGTTCCTCGCGCCCTATTTGTTTTGTGTCTCTCTTGGTCTGGGAGCGGCTGAACGGGCTAGTGACTCATGCTGGTCGACAGATATTGGCAATGTATTGTTTTTGTTTACGGAACATCGTGCTTGTTGTTGTTGAGATCGCGTTGGCATGCCAGATGCCTTCGTCAGTACCTACCCTATACCGGATGAACGAAGCTGCGGTCTACGGTGCGCTTCGGCCGCCTTTGACATGATCCCTCGTGCCAACTTTTTCTAGAATAGAGGTAAGTTTATTGTATGGCTCTGGAGGTAAGTTCAATAGTGTCTGCTTGGGTAGTCTATGTTGTTGGGGATGATAAAGTTTCTCCGCGATGCGACAATCATGACATCAACGTCAAAGTGAAGGATCATGCTTTAACTAACCACGACGATAGTAGAGTCTGGAGCATTTATTCTACCATCATGTTCAACTACAGATACCCCGAATGAAGCCGAACTCGATTTTAGTCGATAGCCATAATTACCACGCGTACTAAACTTTCCTGACACCGGCGAGGAAGGTAGGAAGCACCCGGCGGGTTCACACGTCTTGACGTGTAGAAGCGATGGATGGTAGGTAGGTACATTAAACATCTCCTTCCACAAGATTGCTTCTCCCACCATTGGGACAGCATCTTAAACTACCTAAAGTATACTCGAAGGAAAATTGGAGAGCAACGGCTGAGACCTCAGGTTGATCTGCGATTGATTACAGCAAAGTTGCGTTTCAAAGCATGCCCTTTCAGGATTCATCTTCTCCGCCAGAGCGACCACAAGCACGAACCAGTTCATCAAATAAGAGGGCTTTGATGACATCCCATAGAATCAGCAATCAATTGATTGGTACAAGTGGCCAAGATCAACATGGCATGCAACTCGCAAGAGTGTGCTCTACGCACCCAATTCCATGAAGAACGACTCAGATGAGGAATTCACGGTGGAAATTGGCTTGGTGGGGTGGAACCTCCCATTCCCATCAGATGACCTGCTGCAATACTTTGTCTCTGATGCATCTACATCCCGGACATCCCGCGACTGGCCGTCGCGTGTCGCTGGGCATGGGATATATCGGCCGCCCAAATGCAATTGGGAAACCCAAAACCCACGTAAGGCGGGCGGGGAACCCTGGCAGATCACGCGAATGCTCGCTATTGCTACTCAATGGAGTTTATGCATACTGTTCTGACCACAACGACACCCTATTGTTCTAAAGCCGAATGAGAGGGGCCGCGCTGGCCAAACAGACAACGGACACTCGAAAGTGGGAGGCCTATATCCATATCACATGTCCTGATGACGAGTATAATGAGACACATGCAAAGTCCGCCTTGTGAGGCAGGTGGGGTGGCAGGGAATCACCTTCGAACGTTCTGGGCTTCGAGGAGAACATGGGGCTAACATACTTATCGTGATGTGTAGCATCGGGCAGTTTGCTAGCATACCATTCGGGCCAACGAGCTTTTCACTTGGATTGCGATATCCAGGGATAGAGAACATGTAGGTGAGAATTGCACATCGTGGTGGAAGCTCGCACCCCGCCTACCTTACCTTTCTCCTCCACCAAAGCTGGCTAAATCCTTATACGAGGGCCTATTGTGGGTGAGGTTTGGTCATACCGCCTGCCCCCACTCCGTATAAGGATGGCGAACCTGGACGCTAATCATCGGCATCCAAAGGGCATTATGTTGCAGGTGAGCGAAGCTGGATGGCAGCGCATAACCAGATGAGTAGGGCGTCAGTTCACTTTGATTATCGGTCAGCTCTCGTTGGCTACTTCAGCTGTGGCCGCGAGTCAAATATGCAAGATGACCGATCGACAGGGCTTTGGACTTCGGGGCGGCACTTGAGGGTCGAGACCGGGTTCCATGAACAGACGCGGGCTAAGCGACGGTGGAACACGAGGCCCGGGGCCAAACATACGATATCGTTCCTGCCCTGCCCTATTCACCCGATACCGGCTGTAACGTTCTGAATGGCGCTCCCGGAGGCCACCACCATACCAACCGGATAAGATGTGAAGGCGCCAGCGGGTGGATGATCCATATGGTCCGATGTCCATGGCCCCGTCCGTGCTCTGTCGTAATCGAGAAAACCCCGGGTACGAGGTTGGCCATTCGGCCGATGCGTCTTGCAGGGTTCAGCAGTGGAGTGGTGGTGGAGCTGGGCAGCTGTCTGTCTCCCAACTTCTATCGCAAGGGCACTGTAGTGATGACTATCCGTACTTTGGATGAGTATCACCAGCTTGACACCTTGGCTCTGGGGTTGGCTGTGGACCTGAAGGAGGCGCATAGAGCAAACCCACCCTTCCTCGCTGTCGTTGAGTGCTTGGAGGGCTTGGAGGCCACGAGGTAGCAGTCGCCGGCTGGTTCAGTGGAACGAATCCATCTGGCTGCCCAAAGGTGGCGAGGACATATCGCGGAATGAGGGGACGAGGTGGGCGACGGGAGGGATCCCACCAGGGCCATGACCCCGCGAAGTTGGCTGAGAGGTTTCTGCAAGCCGGCATTGATGATCCTCGAAAGAGTGGGTTTGGGGCAGCAAGGCGAGGGAAAAAGTTTAAAGAGGGTGCTTGGTGGTACTGATTGTGCTGCTGGTTGGGTTGTTGGAGGGGGGTGGTGCACGTTTTAAGTGTGAGTGCCGTTCAGGCAGGCAGCAAAGACAAACAGAAAAAGCAGCTGCAGCCACTTTGCCCTACCCACCTTCCTCTGCTCACTCCTCTCACGGACCTCCTTCGCTTCACACATCGACTTGTTCCTGGGCCCCTTTTCCCCCTTGCTGCGTCTTCTGTTTTGTATTTCTTTCTCTCGTTCCCGTCATCTCTCTCCGTCGCTTCCCCCGCGTGGATTAGCCGTGTGATACATCATCCCACCTCTCGCCTCCCCGTACCTGGCGTTGCCCCAGAATCAACCAACAGACAGCCTCAACCCCACCCCCTGGCCGGTCACCGAGCATCAGCGATACTACATAGCCTTCCACTCCCGCTCGAGGATCCAGCCATGCCAGACCCAGACCATCAGACAAAAGGAAAGGAGACCCACAACGACATTGAAGCTTTCCACGCCGTTCTCCGCTCGAGTCGCCGGATTCTTGCTCTCTGTGGGGCCGGACTGTCCGCATCGTCGGGCTTACCAACCTTCCGCGGCGCGGGAGGTCTTTGGCGTAACTTCGATGCCGCCAATTTGGCGACTCCCCGGGCTTTCGCCATGGATCCCGGACTGGTGTGGCTCTTCTACGGTTACCGTCGGCACATGTGTCTGAAAGCCAAGCCCAACGACGCTCACAAGGCCCTGGCCGCCCTGGCCAGGGAGATGCCAAACTTCCTGTGCCTGACACAGAATGTGGACAGTATGCTACCATCTGACACTTGCCGTCCGGGGTGAGAGAGAGGAGAGTCTAACGAGCAAACTTTGTTCAAACCAATTTATAGATCTGTCACAGAGGGCCCAGCACCCGCCCGATCGCCTGTACACTCTGCATGGCTCGCTCTTCGATATCAAGTGCAACAAGTGTGATTGGATACAGCGAGGTAACTTCGACGACCCATTCTGTCCTGCCCTAGCGCCGGCCTCGGTTGACCCGCCCCCCGGCGAGACGCTCCCGCTCCTGAATCCGTACCACCGTATCCAGCAAGTTTCGGAAGAGGAGTTACCCAAGTGCCCCCGGTGCAAGCAAGGGCTCCAACGACCTGGTGTTGTATGGTTCGGAGAAAATCTTGACTTAGACGTGATTGCGAGAGCAGACAGTTTTGTCCGAGCTGGCCCATTGGTAACCGCAATACTTTGCCCCCCTTGACTGATGTTCGCCCTGGCAAGCTGACCCTTTTCATTTTAGGATCTCATGTTTGTCATTGGCACGTCCGCAGTCGTTTCCCCGGCAGCAGGCTACATTGACAAGGCGCGTAGAAATGGTGCCCGCATTGTGGTGATTGATCCGCGTGCTGAAGACCTTGATGAGATGGACAAGCTCCGGACCGGTGATTTCGCCTTTGGGCAGGACGCAGCAAAGATCCTACCCGTCCTACTTGAGCCCATAATCGGGACCCTCCAGCCAGATGGAAGCTACCGAAAGCCTGGTTGACTGGACGAGAGATCGTTTTGTCTGTTTTCCCTTTGATTTTCCGAAAAGACTATAGGAGCAACATAGACGGATACGTGATTTAATGTCCTGGCAACTAATTTAAAATAGTATGTTCCCCTATGGGGTTGATAATCGAATGAGAGACGTCGCTTGAGTTTCAACACGGTTCTGTGTCTCTCATATCTGGTGCGTGTGACTGATGTCTGAACTGACCTGATTGTTGGAGTAAATCAGAAACTTGGCTTGACTCCATAGTCAACGAGTGATACAAGCCGCTTGCGTCGGCCTCATCAACTAGCGACGAGGATGTGCACCACTGCGACTACACAACCTGAAGTTTGCGATGCATCCAAACCTGGATGTCAACACATGATCCTCTGAGCGATCTCAATTTCGGCCTGTCGAATAGATCCTCCGTTCGCGTGTCTGCGGAAGAGATAAATCGGATTAAGAGCATACCCTTGGTTGGAACGATATACCCTTTCGGGTTATCGGTGACCGAGATATGGGTATCGAAGCGACGTTGTTGGTATGACGAGACCTGGACAACCTGAAACTTGACGCTATGGAGCTATATGCTTAAACCTTGAAGCGTCGGGTTTTTAGCGCCGACTCTGCGGGACAGGTATCAGATGCGGTTGTTGGGATAGGTGGAACCAATATGCCTTATGGGAGATGAATGAGGGAGACTTGCATATGCAGCATTGTGGCAATCCGCTTTTTCGTTTGATTTGACAGTGTGTCGTCAGAAAGGCATCGATTGCGCAAGATTGTATCAGAAGGACTCGTTAACCTTGCATCTAGGGTTATTTGATCTCCGCGGCTCCGGAAACGGAGTTTGGGGTTTTGGATTTAATCTTGGCTTCATGAAACGTCCCCCTTATATTGTGGACCCGTCTCATTGCCCGAACGGGAAATCCCTCGATCCAGACTCCGAATATGGCGGAAGACAAGGCTCCGGTGCCCCAACTCAGCGAGCTTTTCGTCCGACTTCGTATTATCCTGCTCAATCTCATTTTGTTTCCCCCTACAAGCTTGACACAGCCCTTGGTGGGCGGTGGAGTGAAGAGTTGTGGTGATGTTTCAGCCCGGGTTTCGTTTTCAACCCCCAGCCATTGCGTCACGTAGGAGAACTGTATATGAAGGCATCTCGCTCGCCGTTGGACTGTTTGCTTGGACAGATCCATCTCATCATCAAACCACACTCTTTCAAGACAGGCTCTTGACTCGCCCACCAACCTCCGGCTAGGTCTCTCGTTGTGTATAAAACATTCTACAAACAGTCTTTTACATCTTTAACTTACGGACCGGTTCCACTTTCGTTAAAGCAGTCAACATGAAGTTCTCCCAGATCGCTCCTCTCGCCGCCCTGGCCGGCCTCACTCTTGCCAGCCCCACCCCTACCATCAACAAGGTCGACAAGCGCAGCCTTGAGAAGCGTGCCTCCATCACCGAGGCCGCCAGCCTCGGTTTTGCCAGTGCCAACGGTGGCACGACCGGTGGTGCCGGCGGTACCACCACCACCGTCAGCGACTTTGCTTCCTTCAGCGCCGCTGCCAAGGCCGATGGCCCTGCTGTGATTGTCGTTTCCGGTACCATCACTGGCGCCGGCAAGATCCGCCCTTCTTCTGACAAAACCATTGTCGGTGCCTCTGGCGGTGCCTCGCTTGAGGGCGTTGGATTCTACGTCAGGAAGGTCAAGAACGTCATCATCCGCAACCTCAAGATCTCCAAGGTCAAGGCCTCGGACGGTGACGCCATCGGCATTGATGCCTCCACCAACGTCTGGGTCGACCACGTCGACCTCAGCGGCGACCTGAGCGCCGGCAAGGACGACTACGACGGTCTCTTCGACGTCACCCACGCGTCCGACTATGTCACTATCTCCAACTCCAAGATCCACGACCACTGGAAGGCCTCCCTGGTCGGCCACTCCGACTCCAACGAGAGCGAGGACAAGGGCCACCTGACCGTCACCTACGCCAACGTCCACTGGTCCAACATCAACTCGCGTGGCCCCTCCGTCCGCTTCGGCACCGTCCACATCTACAACTCCCTGTACGAGGGCATCATCAACAACGCCATCAACTCCCGTCTCGGCGCTCAGGTTCTCGTTGAGTCCACCAAGTTCTCCGACACCAAGAGCCCCATCGTCTTCCGCGACTCCGACACCACCGGCTACGTCGTCACCAACGACGTCGACCTCGGCGGCGCCACCAACGAAGTCGCCGTCGGCACCATCAAGGGCAGCGACCTCCCCTACAAGTACACCCTTGTTGGCAGCGGCAGCGTCGCCAGCGCTGTTGCCGACGCCGGTGCCACCCTCACCTGGTAAATCGGGTTTTGTTAGACACGGGCTGGGCCCGAACTTGGGGAGGATTTGTAGATAGGAGGAGCTTCTTTCGTGTTTCCCTGAATGGGAGAGCTTGAATTATACACATATCATGTACTTGAGCTATTAGTACAAAACCACTAGTTTAATACCTTAGATTGGTGGGCGTCAATATAATGAGTAGCAAAAATCATGAGTTCGCACTTATTACGTGAAAGAAAATAATTGTGTTCATTAGGTGGATGAGTAGTTTTTCGTAGAAAGTTGCTAAATGTAGTATCTGGGGGTTACTGGTATATTCCAATGGGAATGGCTATTCGACTGCGTTTGGAGCTCAGCGACAATGAAATCCCGGTCACAGAAAGAAAGAGGCAAGATGTTCTGCGTACAGCCATCGTCGGATCGTTGGAAGCTTGGGAAGGAGCACCGGGGCAGACTGTTGTGTCACGTCATCACTGCCCGTTAAGGTGGTAAGTTGGGAAGGAGCCAGATGTTGAGCTCTTGAGAGCGAGGAAGGAGGCACTGGATCAACTTTGGGCGGGAAGGCAGAAGGCCCTTTCTGCTTTCGTGAGGTCTTGATGGATACCAAAAGAACACAATGTTGGAACCAGCTACTTACCTGGCCGTCATGCAATAACCACTTGCAACACCCCTCATCTTGGCGACTGACCTGTTTGCGCAAGAGCCGTCCCGAGTCGTGGTGGCAAAGAATCCAGAACACCACATCTATTGAAAAGATGGCGACGACAATGCAGGAAGCCGCTCAAAAGTCTACCAGGCCCAACCAAGCGGAAGCCACGACAGAGTTCCGTGAGATTCAAGACCGATACAAGCTTGCCCAGAAAACTTTCCAGTCGCTCTTGAAGATCAGCCCCGGCCCTGACCGACGCACCGTCCTCGAAACCGCCTGCTCCTCCACCGCAGAATATGCTGCGTTTCCAATCAAGCAGGCCGAGAGGGCCTTCTTCCGCCACATCAACGAGCACACGGGGATACCGTACATGTTGCGCGAGAATGTCTCGCAGCCGTGGCATAAACCCTTTCTTCTCATACAGATCCAGCTCCAGGGCGGGCCTCTGCCTAATAAATTGACCCACGCTGCTCGCAAGGAGCTTCTCGGCGACCGGGGCCAGATGTTCTTCATTCTCGATCGCGTGCTTCGATGCTTGGTGGATATTCTCGGACTGCGGAGGGATGGCAGAGGGGTTATTGCCGCCTTGGATGTGCTGAGGAGCATCAAGGCTGGTGTTTGGGATGGGAATGAGAACGAGTTGTTGCAGGTTGAGGGCATTGGGGCTGTCAAGATGGATAAGCTGGCGAGTGCTGGTATCAAAACCATCCGCCAGCTTGCGGGCCTGCAGTGTTATCATATCGAACGATTGCTCAGCAGGAACCCTCCGTTTGGTCAAGAGATGGTCCTTAAACTCAAGGGATTTCCGTTATTGCGCATTAATATCGATGTACTGGGGCCATTCAAAGAAGGGCAGGCCCAGCCGGGGGCAGCCACAAGCAAGCTGAGCACGCTGTCAACTAACACCAATACTCTCTGGATGACGCGAATAGTTCTCGGCTATGAGAATGAAGAAGTTCCTCACTGGAAAAAGAAAAGTCTCTGGACAACGTTTGTTATTGAGGGCGAAGATGGCCGTCTTGTTTGGTTCTGGAGGGGAAGCGTGAAGAAATTGGAGAATGAGCAAACGATGATTGTCTGTCTGGCAGTCAAGAAAGGCGAGAAGCTTGGTGTGGTTTTCGCTTGCGAGACGGTTGTGGGCACAACCATACGGGAGACTCTCCAAATTGATTGATTTAGCTGGGTCATCATTTGCTGAAGATCTTTGAAATTCTTTTCACCTATTTCTATGGTCTGTCAAATGTGTCAAAGGAAGATTAATGAGAAAATGATGGCTGTTATACAAGAAGCTGGAGATTATGCTCATAAACTGTATCTGTCAGCTCTAAACCACGTTTCTAAGCCCTTCACATTGAAAATTAGCCACACAATCGACCATGCCAACTGTGCCTTGATTATCTACATAATGTGGTGGAATGTACCGTTCGACATCAAAGATTCTTCCCCGAGTGATAGACGAGAAAGCTCACATACTAACAGTCCGCTACTAGGGGCTCGGCAATCCCTTGGAGCTCAGAAACTAGGACAAGAAGAAGAGATCTGCACCGCGCCTGGGATCTGGAACCCTCTTGGAGTACAATCTAAAGGATTGCTGTTTCATGGAAACAGTTACGAGTGGCGGGTTAACCACGGTTGGTGAGTCGTCGGCAAAATTTCCAGAGAGCCTGGTTAGAATTCTGATTCAAAAGTCTACTGATAGATTATAGCACCAAAAATGATACCGTTTCAAGTGTTCCAGAACGGGGAATACCAGCAGAGCGTAGCTCACTCCGGGAAGAAGAGCTCCCTTGGAGAATAGGTATCGTAGAGCCAGGTTGCAGCGTTTGGTATTTGCGTAGTAATGCCTTTATATATGAGGTAGCTGCTATGTCTTTCTTTCAAACTTTTTCGTTCTTTCTGTTTCTTCTCTTCTATTGTTTCACCAAGACTTAAATAGTTGCCGAGGCGCTTAGATATTTGAGACAACGGCTGACGCAGGTGTATTCTACACCCCACTGGGCACAATATTTACCACACTTGCGAACAGGTAGTCAGGCTCCTAGACAGGGAGGCATATGTAACAATTTGGGATGCGCATATTACCAATGGGCAAGGGCGAAGACATCAAGGTGAAGCTGGTAGCCGTAAGTCTGTAATATCTGACAAGGTGCTAGCAGGAATGTTTTGCCAAAAGCCCGCGTCGGCTCATTGTCTAACCTGACTCCAACCGAACTCTACCCCTTGACACATCAAACTGGGTAAGTGAGGTTCCATGCTTGACCACATCCTGTTTCAACGAATGGGGTGAAATGGGCTGGGAGAACTCTAGAATTCGACTCCTTGTATTTGCTGAAATGTCGTTACTGGTACATAGATGGGTGTAGATACAATGTAGTCATCCCTCTGACGCCTGACTTCCCTCCCCTTCTCCCTTCACTCTCCTGCCATCTTTACAATGAGCCTCCATGTCATTCAAACAGAATCATCAACCCGTCTCTCCATTGATCTTTGAGAATTAGCCGAGTAGACATGAGGATTTTTGGTGGTTGAGATCGTGTTCCCGAAAATAGCCTATTGTACAATGTTCAAGACGGATCCATGTTAAACGCCCTCGTGCTGATGTAGGTATATGATTTGATGGTTTTCCCCCTTCCCTCGACTTTTTGAATTTTTCTTACTTCCTCTTCATATATGATCATTTGGTCTCGGTGTTTTTTTGTGGCTGTCTATTCCGTTGGTTCCTTATACATCATTGTTGGCTACCGGCGGCCAGCAGTCTGGTTGAAACTGTCAATAACAGTATCCTTCAGACTGGAGCCCTCCAACTCGCTGGACTCTGACGACTTGACAGCCTTCTGGGCCATGGTGCGTGCCTGAGCCTCGCCGACCTTGCCATAGACGCTGAGACCCGTGGCAATCATGCCGCCGATGTCACCAACATTCCCAGGGACAACAACGGCGGTGCCCTCCTTGGCAAGGTTGCCGAACGCCTCGACGTACTTCTCGGCAACGGTCAGGCTCACGGCGCCCTGCGCACCCTCCCTGCCGCTCAGGATGCTCTGTGCAACGGCGTCGATACCCTCGGCGGTGGCGCGGGCCTTGCGCAGGATGGCCTCGGCCTCACCGTCGGCGGTGTTGATGCGCTCCGCGCGCAGGGCCTCGGAGGCGAGGATGACGCTCTGCTTCTTACCCTCGGCGATGTTGATGGCGCTCTGGCGCTGACCTTCGGACTCGAGGATCTCGGCGCGCTTGGAGCGCTCGGCGGTGACTTGGCGGTGCATGGCCTCGACGACGGCTCCCGGCGCGTGGATATCGCGGATCTCGTATCGGAGGCAGGTGACGCCCCACGCCTCGGCGGCGTCATTGATGGCGGCTGTGATGTTGGTGTTGAGGGTGGCTCGCTCCTTGAGGACGTGGTCGAGGGTGAGCTGACCGATTTCGGAACGCATCGTGGTCTGGGCGAGCTGGGAGATGGCGTACTCGGCGTCTTCTACACCATAGCTGTGTTCACATTGTCAGTAACTAAACCCCGTACTGAAAAGAAGGAGTGTTCAAGTCTCTCACCTGGCTTTATAAGCGTCAAAGACCCGAGTGAACAGCACACCGTCAAGCTCGAGCGTGACATTGTCGGCCGTGATGGCGCTCTGCTTGGGGATCTCGAGGGCCACCTCCTTCAGGCTCTTGACGTAGGCGATACGGTCTAGGAAAGGGACGAGGATGGCCAGGCCGGGGTCGAGGATGCGATTGAACTTGCCCATGCGCTCGACGATCCACGCCGTCTGCTGGGGCACGAAGCGGACGATGGTGTTGGCCGGTAGCCTGGGCTTCTGGAAGTATGTGGGGAGGGGGCCGACGATGCCCGAGGAGCCGGCCGAGGAGCTCGCGGAGATGCCGCCGGGGAGGAAGGCGCTGTTGGAGCCGGAGGTGAAGAGGCGGGAGGCAGGGGCCAGCAGGAGGTGAGGCTGCCGGCGGAGGAGAGGCGCGCGCATGGCGGCTACTCTGGACAATTGGCTGGCCATTGTGTGTGTGAGATGGTGATGATGGCTCCCCCGGCCGCAAGGAGCTTCGCCTGCTGTTTGAGAAATGTGTCTGGTTGTTGAGGAAGGGCGGAGGGAGAGGCGGGCGGCGATGACGTTGATCCACGAGTAAGAGCAGCTGCCTGCTCTGCTGAGTCTGGGGAAGCAGCCAGAAAGTTGGAAGCTTTGCTCGTGTGTGCTTCCGGCCGAGATGCCGATGATTATCCGTGCCGGGTGGGAGGTGCCTTCCTGCTCTCCGATTCAACGTCAGCGCGCAAGGAAAGGGTCTGTGCTCCCCCAAATTGGTCTTTGGCGGGGTCAGCCGCTGCTTGTCCAACCTTACCAGCATGACCATCTGCCCCTCCATCCATTTCGAGGCGTCCAACTGACTGACTAACCGCCATAAACACCCCAAAACCAGACTCGTTCACCGTTCCACCTGCATCTCCAACCCGGGCACGCACCTCTCCATTCCCACCTCGTCTCCTTTTGTTTGGCCTTCGGTGTCTCCCCCCACCTCCCCTCGCCTCCAGCCTCGTCGCCTCTCCCATCCCCCGCAAAGCTCCTGCTCCCACCGCTGACCGAATTTCCGAGTATCCATTGCAGCAGCCATGGCCAAAGTCCCCCGCAACTTTCGCCTCCTCGAGGAGCTCGAGAAGGGAGAAAAGGGCCTCGGCGCGGAGGCCTGCAGCTATGGACTGGAGGACTCCGAGGACCTGCTCATGAGCAACTGGAACGGCACCATCCTCGGGCCCCCCCACGTGAGACTTCCCGCCCGGAGCACTGCTTCTCCAACAACCACCCACCACCCTTGGGCCGATAACGGGTTGGGGAGTGTTTTGATCTCAAAATCGTTATATTTTGTCGCAAACTGTTTATAGCTAACAGCGAGATGCACAAATCTAGTCCGTTCACGAGAACCGCATCTACAGTGTCAAGATGCACTGCGGCGAAAAGTACCCCGACGAGCCCCCCACGATCCAGTTCCTGAGCCAGGTGAACCTGCCCTGCGTCAACCCGCGCAACGGCATCGTCGACCCAAGCCAGCTTCCCTGCCTTGCCCAGTGGAAGCGGGATAACACCATGGAGACTGTTCTCATTGAATTACGGAGGTATGGTCATCTCAGGGAAACGTCCCCCTTCTATCTACAAGTTTCTGTGGAACAACAGATGGCAAACGCGATGTGACGAGTACTGAATTATATTGTTTCCTATAGGTACATGGCCGCTCCAGCAAACAAGAAGCTCCCACAGCCACCCGAGGGCTCAACCTATGCCTAAATTTGGAAGCGAAGCGGAATATAGCGTCTAAATCACAATGCTTAACTTCGCTTGCCGAGGCAAGATGCATAACTTGAGCCGGGAATGGGAGCAGTATTAATGAGAAACGCCGGGGGACTTGGACCGTCTTGCCCAATTTTCCCATCATGTATTCAACAAAATCAAACGGGCTTATCGTGAACTGTATGGACATTTCCCTCCACCATCTCCTTGTGATCACGAAACAGGGGATCCAAAAAGCGCTCAAGCCATCCAGGAATATCATATCATGCAAGATGATGTTAGTAGACAAAAGAAAATAGCCATGTGTCGCAATGTGGGAATCATAAATAAGGATACAGGTAAGAAGAAGAAAAATACCCTCCCCCCTTCCCCTCAGAAGGGGAAGTAGAAAAAGAAGAAAATGGGGATGGGTGTGACAAAAGAAGTCTATTCGTCAAGGAAACCTCTTCCCCCATGCATT